TAAGCGCAAAACATGTCATACTAAATAAAATGTGCAAGAAAAGTCATTAAATTAGAAAACTCTTTACAGCGAAACGAATAAAACAATGACATTCAATATTAATTCCAGATCTAGAAAGATTTGCGTCAAACCTTAGTGCACATATCAGGGTCCCGATTGTCCGCAGTCAAATATGACTCGCGTTAAATCGTGTCGGGCCCGAGCCTGCTAGGGTCAGCCGTATCACGGCCAAGTAATATCAAGCCGGATTTACATTACGAATGTAATGCATGAAACAACTTTCATTGCATTAATTTCACTAGTTCGCACGGTAAACTACCACTTTCGCAATTTTTGATGAAGGTATTTTCACGAAACTAATTTCACCTCGAATTACATGGAGAAACTACTGTTGCAACACTATTTACGCAAAGTTTCGATGTTGACGCAACTATAATCTCAGATATAATGTCGCATGCCATCACGAGTTTCACATGTGCCGAAATTAGCTTCGTGAGTTTTGATTTTCGTTTTGTGACAATACTTTCGTAACGTAAACCCGGTTTTGTTTGTTAGGCTGGTGAGCATGTTAATACAAAATATGGGTTATATTAGTTGATCGTGTTAGGACCGACGCTGCGCTCGCGCCCGTTACGTTCTAGCGTCAGTCATCCATAAATCGTTGACAAACAGCAGACGCTTAATTTAATCGTTCAAGCATCAGTCACGACTAATAACTCTGTACATCCTTAACGCATAACATAGAAATGGCACGACTTTTTTGAACGTAGCATTTGGACTTCCACTACAATAATCGCTTTCGATCTCTACCAAGTAAACATAAATACCAACTTTTATAATAATTTATGGATGCTTATTCATGTTTTCATGCACCTTTTTTTTAAATTTTTAATATTTTTATTCTCAATCATTACATTATTTTTATATAATTCAATATTTTTTAATAATTATATATCATTTTCAAAAATTAAAATATAATAAATTGTTACATCAAGAGTTATATCAGTTTACATCACATAATTATAATATTCGGCGTCTGTTCTTTTTTTTTCTTACATTTACGTAAGTTTAAATTTGTTCACACGTTTTGGATCGTGTTGCAACAATTGCAATTCAAAACTACCTCCAAATAGATTAACATTTGTCTGTGAAATAAAGAAGAATATTATTTTGACTTGTAAATATAATTAATAATCGTCGGAATTTACAACATTATGAAAAATATGCCAAGGATAAACTGATTTATATATAAGTAGATATTTAAACGCATCAATCGGTAAATTTTGGAAGAGGACCTCTCCTTTTCCCAAATTTACGCAAGAGATCTAATCTACAATGACTGCGTATGTAAACGTGCAACATAAACGTTCTAGTGAAATAATTAAAGTATATGGAGGGTATTTGTCGAATTCCGTCAATAACGGTGCTGCCTATAACGGTGTCTTACTTTAACGTCATTTTAATTGCATTTCAAATCAAACCGCGCTCTTTGATTAATTCCAATATTCTTAGTAAGCAGTAGGTCGTACATTCATTTTACATCATAGGCACATATGAACTTTTTCTATCTCTGTATACAACCATTGGAACAAAACGTACAAGTGACTTCTAATTTTGAAATTATTACAATTCTCTCAAAGTGGATTTCAATTGTTTAATATCGTAATTTCACAGGTGTCCAACAATCATTGTTTATCGTATAAGGATAATTTCATGCGATTCTCAAACGCGTTTGGACTTAAGTCGCTCACAATTTCCATACCAATGATTTATTTTTTAATATCAAACGTATAAGATCTACTATCGCAAAGCTGCGTAACTAACTGCCGAATGTCCGATATACACAATTGACCAGTATTTACATACATTCACTAAATCGACACGTTGGCTAATTAACGCTAACATTGACTCGCACGTCTTATATATAACTATCTAATTTAAACATTAGTAACAGTTTAACTGACATTATTGCGATTCTCACTGTAAGTTTAGTTAGTTTTCAAGAAATTTCAAAACCATCAGATGCATATATCTAATAAATACCCCGTTACATGTCTAAGTTAGTATATTTATTACATACATAACATAAATGTAACTCTTTCATATTTATACATACATAGTTATATACATCAATGAAATCCCAGCGACGATAATTAAGCGTGCAGTTATTACAAATACATTAATAAATACATAATTTAGTAAAATTTTGTATATGAAAATAAAAACGTTCACATAGAATTTTTCAACATAGTCACTTATCCTATATTTATACGAGATTCAGCAATCACAATAATATTTAAATATGGTAGGCAAAAGATATCTATTATTTCTGCGTCTGATAACTTCACTATAATTAGGTAGTTGAATAAGTACTTGCACTTAACTACGATTTTGAATTATCTATTTAAAAGTTATTGTCCAGCTGATAGTAAAAGTTATCCATATCGTAAATTTCAAGGGTAATATTTATTTATAAATTTGAGTACACCATATATATTTTTCAGTTAATAAATTTCTTATATTATTAATAGCTGGAGGCCTGCCATCGTTTTTTAATAAACTATAATGTTTTAACGTTAAAAGTTAATTTTATAAATTTGAAAACATTCCACCCAAAACAATTAATCGTTTAATGCCACCAAAAACAATAAATAAAAACAATTAATCGCTAATGACGCCACAAAACTTCTAATGGAAACAATACTAGTTATCCTAATATTGTTGCTTGTTATGTTGCTTACTATAAGAACGTCGTTGTACGAATTAGTTAGATAAAGTTAGAATTATATAGCGACCAGAAATGGCGGTATCATTTAGAAAATACGTCAAATCTAGAATCATTAAATAAAGAGGATAACAATAAATAATTATTAATAGATAATTTCCAATTTCAACGTCATTGAGCGGTTACAAATAATATAAAATGAAATATGTATTTTTTTATGTGTATTAGGTATTGCTTTTAATAAGTTATTCTCATGTTTCTTCTCACCAATTAATGATTTACATTTATTTTACGTAATAATATTTTTATTATATAAGTTATAAAAATCAGATCTTTTCAATCTTCCAAGGTCAAGGAGATTTACACTATTCTTTCGATATACGTTTATAGGATTTACTGAACAAGTCTAATCTAAAGATCTTGGTACTATTATAATGAGTGAAGTTGTTATTGTTACCGTACTGTATAATAATACTTTGTGTGTATTGATTACTTTGCTTCGAAGATTATTATTAAAATTATAAAATTGGCTAGATTAATTATATAAGTGGAAACGAAAATTATTATAAAAAAGAGAGCTGATGAGTTTCTTTATATATATATAGTGTAAAGGTAATCTATATCTATCTTTAAATGGCAGAGTAAGTACTATCTTCTTTTTGCTGTTTGGACAATAAACCACTGAATGTTACAATATTTCTTAATAAATTCAATATTTTTAACAGCGTATTTGGAGTATACACATACATTTATACAATTCCCAAATCGCTGTTATATGACTATGTTGAGGATAATCAATAAGAATCGTGAACACAGAAAAATACCGTAATCTAATACTACCGTTAGTAGTCAGTAATCTACCATGGCACTTCACTTGCCTTTATATCGGCCACATATCACATATTATATATATATATATATATATAGGACTTTTGTCCTTCTTTCACGTTGCATTGGAGCATCTTCCGTGATTTTTATGTGTAGCGTGCTAACAAATTATATAGACATTTTTTCAGGCTAAAAGTATTTTTTGTAGTTTTTATACTGTTTTTTAACGAAAACTAGGAAACAAATTCATTTTTATTATCACATAACTGGCCGCTAATGTGGATGAATCAAATATTTGAACGTCAATGTGATTATTTTAATACACAAGAGGAATAATTTTAACAGAATTATAATTAATTCTTTTTGTTCGGTAAATGAAATCAAAAAGTAATATTATGACCCTATTTACTTAAGAAACTCGAAAAACATGATTGATTGTTGAAAATTGGTTAACGCTCTGCGACCTCGACGTATTTAATCTATATTTCAAAACTTACATATATGACTCAATGTGAAAGAAATTACCTATGCCGAACAGTTATCATAATTTCAAAAAGAATTATGTATAAAATAAAAAGATTTATATCAAAACTACAAATACATAATTTCAATTCTAAACTATTTCATTTATGAGCTACGCAAAACTATCAGTGTGCTTACGTAACCAAGTGAAGTGCCATCACAGAGTAGTCAAAAGCACGCCGAGTTAGTTATACAAAACTGAGAAATTCCTCCACTTGATTTTAAACACTATTTATACATTCAATGTAGCGTTCGAAATCAATTACGGAAATTTAACATATCATGGTAGTCTGACGTGCACAGTGTTTAAAAACTAAATATTTTCAATAAAATGCAGAGCTTCACTCAATAAATATCTAATTATTAATGAGTATAAATAGTTCGTGATTCAAACTGTCGCCAATAAAAATAAGTATTAAAACGCACAGACAATAAAAGACGAGTGATACACCAAAATTTGTACATCATGTTACCATTAAATTATATTGCTATGCTCGACAGATAATTCTACTGCCGTAAAAATATAAAGAAGCAACGAGTAAATATAACTTCATCTACGCATAGACAAGTCGCAATGGATTAACTACACACTATCAAAAATGAGATAACAATTCGAATTGACACAGCACAAAGGCAATGACTGATAATCAAACATTGAAGTAAATAGTACGATTTTTCAAATCGCATCAGCGTATCCAATCCGATAAAAATATTTATGTACAAAAATCGGAGGTCAAACGTATATGAGCCACGCATTATCGCGCTATTACATTTACACGAGATTATTAAATAAATGCAATTTTGATTATTAGTTTAATAAAATTATTCATACTATATTGCGGTATTTAAGACACATGAACGAACAGATAATATTACTAATGTATAGTCTTAACTTACTTCAACTATTCTATATCAGAATCGATGGTTATTTTAGATCGTACATATCTTGAGATTCAATGTACCTTTGAGTTATAATCCTGCCAGAATCGACGACGGGCGTCAACAGTTCCTCTGAAGGGACCTGGATACGGATTCTGTTGTCTGACGATAGATTGCTTGCTCCGTTACTCGTGTAGAAACCGAGAGAGATGGGCTTATGGTGTTCGTCTGAGTATGATTTATATTTCGCGGGACTAGGGTGTAAATGGGAGGGGCTTGCTGCTAGAGGATTGTATGTCACGTGTATACGGACTATGTCGTCTGATAGTGGTGATACTGACGGCGGATGCGGTGTTGCTCTGGGCGTAGAATGAGCAGTAGATGGGGCACGTTGGATACTCAATCCGCCTATACCCGATCTGTAAATACATATACAATTTACATCTACTGCCATTTAGACTAATGTTCAACTTCAAGTTAATTTGTATCTCTAAAACCCTCTTTTGATTTTGAATACCACCAATTTTGATGACATGAACATCAAACTTACGCCGCCCAACTTCAAATGCATGATAAGCATTATATTCTAATCATACCGTTTAGTCGATTTTTATTAATTTAGTAAAATAAAAGTATTCTATCTAAAATTAGTCCTATTCAAAGTTTAATGTAATTACGTTATAAATGCGACATTATTTCAAAAGGATATGGGCCTTCTATTATTTTTCATATTATAAGAAAATAAGGCTGACATTAACAAAGAGTTAAACTGTAATTGTCCTGAATTTTCTCCTATATTATTCTAATTTAAAAAAGTAGTATCAACTTGGATCCCATGGGGCGTCCAAAAGATAATAAATTTAATTATTGTTTTACACCACATTTAAAACATGCATCTATTTAAAAAAAACATTTCATGAATAAACGAAGAATATTATAGTAAGAACTATATTATGGAATTATTTTACTAAAGAAATACAATGGATTACCATACAATACAAACAGGAAGTGCCGGTGCAAATCAGGGTACAATCTGTATTATAATGTTCTGGGCTTTTACGTTCAACACATATAAATATTAAAGAAATAGCTAAATTACGCAAGGAAAACAGTAAAACCGAGCAATATGGAAAGGTGATATTGATCTTTGCCATAACTTGAAGATAATAAAAATACAAAACAATGTTTTAAACAATGCAAAAATTTGTTCTTATAGTTGAGTATCATTAATTCGTAATAATGTTATGAATGCGAAAGTAACTCTATCCGTGTCTGTTTACGCCTTTACTACTGAACAAATAAATAAAAAGCTACACTGATAGAGTGGACATAGGATAATTTATATCGCGAAAAAAAAAATAATTACACGTGTGCGAAACCGCGGGCGAAAAGTTAGTATAATATATTTACCAAACAACGGTGTTGTAATTACAAATTATTAATAACGTGTTAATGTCTACTTACATTTTAATATGTAGTAAAAAAACTACGTATGTCAATTAAAATCGGTGACCATAGGCAATGTTTTAAATGCACCCTTTTTCTTCTGAATATTTTATTCGTACACCGATTATAATTTTCCTTTATTTTAAAACTAGCTGTTTTCCCGCAACTTCGCCTACATAAATTATAATAACGTATGATGTAGCTTCCCGTAGATGAAAGAAAACTTAATATCAGTACAATAGTTTTGGAGCCTATTCAATACAAACAAACAGTCAAATCTTTCTTCTTTTAAATATTTGTATAGATAAAAGATAATATCAAAAATCAAGCGCGAAATATAAATTTCTAGTAAAAAAATACAAATACTTCATTGATCATTACGAATTGCCGATTTGTTTTATTAATTATATTTTTTTACCAATGGGATAGTTTTAGATCAGTAGAAAAGTCTGAGGCTTAAATAAGCGTATATTTTTATCTTATTGAATAATAAGTTTCATTTACTGCTTACAAGTTTTTATATTAATTTTAATTTATAACTACAAGCGTTTCTAAAACTAGGTCCTGATAGGTACCATTTTCTTTTAAGATATTTTAAAACCCTATATACGAATGCTTTGTAAAAACTGGAGCAAATAATTCTGATAAAATTTTTGCATTGAAATCAGGATAAACAATTATATATATACAGTGTTGAAATCAACTTCATATTTTATGTGCAATAGAACTGAGGTTCTACCAATTAACTGAAGACTGAACTGATCTGACACATTAAAGCTCTGACTGACCTATCAAATTAAGACCGTGATTGATATGTCAGGCTATCACGCCATTCAGGCTACAAATACGCAATAGAGCCATTGATGCTGTCTGCTAGACTACTGACAAATGAGTAAATAATTAGGGCTTTCAACACTGTATTTTTGTATTAAGTGGTGTCAGATTTGAGGGATGTTAGGTTACTAAGAAGCTGTGAAATCTCAGACCATAGAAAGTTTGTTTATTCCAATAAGAATTGTATGCAAAAAGGATAATTAAAAGTTTAATTTAAAAAAAAAAAACAAAAATTACCGATAAAACCAAATGTAACTTTAAGATATTTCTTTTGTTTTTCTCATTGTAGCATAAAAGAAATACTATTATTATTTATCATTAAAACATATAATTGAGGTGCAATAAGAAACCGTTTAGAAGAAAGAGTCACACACTTTCTTATTGTCATCCTGCCTCTTTCGATTGGTTCCTAAAACTTCGTAACACAATTATTTTAGTGCAAACAGGAAAATTATAAAATCTGTGCTGTATGGGGGTAAATCCCTTTGCTATTAATTAAATAACAACAATCGGTAAATGAGAGTAAATGTTAAAATTGTTTTTAGGTGTGACTAGTCCGTCGTCTAGTCATTTTATCAAATAATTGAAAAAATCTGAAGTCTTTTTATTCCCAACTTGTAGGAATATGATGCATTTTTTTGTTATAAGTCCATAACATTTAACTATCCAATCCTATATAAGACGTACGTATATATCTATAAAACTACAGATTCTGCCACGTCATTAACATCTTTTATCTATTCTATAACTGACTTTCTATGATCTGCGATGTGAAACTCGCGCCCAACACAAATCTCACCCATCTGACCCAGTGCCGTCGTCGCTGACGTTGCTATGTGTGTCTAGCGAATTTTCCGGGGCGTGGGACCGGCCGCTCGAGAACACGCTCAGGTCCGCGGTACTAGTGACACTAGTGTCCGCCAGTGAGCGACGAGAACCGAGTGCGGACACCGAGTCGTCGCAACGTACGTTAGCCGCGACACCGCTGTGATCTGAAGAATATGACGTACGTCATCATAAATCAACAATACAAAAATGTTTTCTACAACTACAGTGGCGAAAGAAAGTGTTAGTAAACCAAAGACTTTTTCACATAGCACGGGTACAAAAATTCGATATTATTAAATTCATTTCTAATAGAGACTATCAATTTTGAGGTCAATGTATAGAACAGAATTCAAGAAAAATATTTACTCATCATCAAGGAAAACCCGAGTCAGAAAATATTTATTACAGTTTCGTTTAATTGTTGCGACAACAATAATAAATAAAATATGTCAAATGCGGTAATCATTTGACATATTTCGATTACAACGTTCTTATTTAATCAATTCCTATTAAAAAAAAACTTTCCAATTTACGTTACAAGTATTGATGTTTTAAACTTTAGAGGGTAAGATTTCAGTAATTATGGCTATTAAAAAAATGTTTTTGTTATAGTATGCAAATTTAAAGATACATCTAATACACAGTCAAACTATTGTTTATATGAAACGGATTTGCGAACAAACTTCACGGTAACCATGCTATGTGAAACGGACTATAGAGTAAGAAGTTACATAGGTAATAAGAATGAAATAATAAGTGTGTCAAGAGGTTAGTGTCTTTAATACAGGAGTACATCCTTAAATTTTATATTGTAGTTTTTTAATAGATAATTAAGCGAAGCAGATGAATAACATAATAGGAACATGCAAAAAAAAATCAACGATCTTCACATACTTACCCATTGGCTTTATGAGTATCAGTCAAAGACATCCCAATGAACTCACATGCATTATAGTGAAATTTACATGTTAAACAGAAACAATAATCTCTGCTCATATCCCTTATGAGAAATGCAAATATATATTTTTTATTTTTCATTATATTTATTTAATACTTATTTACAAAGCTATCGAATTCATCTTAATTGTTTCCGATACGTCGCTTTCTTATTCTTATTCTTGCGAGGTTTTATTAGGTAACCGGGGCAATGATCGGGTAGATGGCATGGGACTCGACAGTGGTGGGGAGTGTCAACATGTATATCCACTGAGGCTTGGGAGATGCGGAGAGGAACGCCATTGGAAACATTCTCACCTAAAGTGGAAACAACAAAATTAGGCAGGATACTGACAATCATCATATGACGTCAATAAATATGACTTTAACTTTAGAGGGTGACTCTGATAAACATTTGAACAGCCCAAAAAGCGTATGTCAAATAAAATTGCGGCTTATTATAAGGTATATAAGCTACACAATAGTCATGTGCGTTTCGTCTACATTTTTGCACCTTTTAGTGACATCTAAACAGCTAAAACGTACCATCAGTTTCGTTTGTAATTTGATATGTGTTTGAATGTTTATTATAGATTTGGTGTCCTCATACCACCACGGGCGGCAAAACTAAAAATAAAACGTATATGGTATCAATTTTCACATAACGTGATTTTATTAATTCTTGGAGGTAAGCCTCAAAAAAAAAAGACTCGTGCAATTAAAATACTAAAACGATAATACCATAATCAATTTATTAATTCATGTTGATAGATATTAATTCAAAAGGTACGTTCGATAGTAAATCTTATAAATAATAAAAACTAAAACAAGTAAATACTTAATCTGATAGTGTGTTTTACAATGAACACAGAAAGGTGATAGGGGTGGGTTTATGTGATAATTAAAACATGAACTAAACTAGAACACTGAAGGTTGAGCAGAGATTCTTTGCAGAGTAATATTGAGATATGATAGTCATTATGAGCGTATGCTAGCTCGAACTGATAGAACAAATAAAAGTGTGCAATACCAATGTGTAAGCAGAATAAAGAAAATTGTGCCTTAAATGTTAATTATCAGTTATTGTTATTAAAACTTAGAGCAAAAGTTTAATTATAGAAGGACATAATCCAATCCAATGCTATAAGCTGATTAGAACTCATTAACGTTTGAGGAGATTAAAGAATATGTATTCGATTAGGCTGTGTTACACTTTTCCATTAGGCTGTGCCGTACCATAACCTTGTTATGAATGTATCAAGTAACGATACCGTCTACTGTGCCCGCTACACCGCGTGCTGTACTCGTGTCTAACCCGTATAATACACGTTCATAAAAAAAACATATTTATTCAATGAAACTCTCTTTACGATGGTGGAAAAAGGATATTAAAGGTCGGTGCAATACTGACGGAAGATCCCTGAAGCGTTTCACGAAAATATGCGTTAGTACACTCAATATACAAGGTTGAAAGTCATATAATACATTTGACTGTTCTAACGTTCCGATAATGTCGTGACGCGAGGCATCTTCCATGAGATGTGCACCACCCTAAGAGTACATACTTTTTGCAACATAAAGCCGCCGGGATGATTTCAAAACCATCCATCTTAAGAGATTCTCTATAGATCATATGAAACTGAAAATGTACGGTATCGACATTACCTACTTTCAGCAACAGATTAAAAATTGCACGTTCGATTAGTTGGTTAAGATCCAAAACCGAGGAAATCAACATTTGAAATCTCCTCATACTTTACGAGTGATAATGTTAAATGAGCAAACGTTATAATGTTATTAATCATGACATAAACCCACCTCCAGTCTACCAGACAAAACCATGCTAGTGCATAAACACTACCAACTCAACGCATTCTCCATGGGCGAGTGGTAATAACACAAATTGGCAAGCAACACTTGTCTGTGCCGACAATAGCTATGATCACTCAAAGGTCTCAATAATTATATACAGATAATTGAATTAAAGCCCAAATTGGTTACAAAAAAATAAACGTAATAGGAAATAGCACCGAGACATTCGAGTGGTCCTAATCATAAATAAATAACAATAGCAAACCATTCTTTTTTTACAACAAAGAAGCACCAACAATTTTGCAATTAGCAAAATTTGTCAACTACGAATACTACAATGAAAAAGAAGATAAATTCGCTTTAAAGTGATTCGCATAGAATTTTTTTGTAAAAAAAAACATACGATAGTCTTAAGTGAAACATCAAGTGTAGTATGACGAACTCGAGATACGTTTTATCTACATCAAATGTCATTTCCCGAGTTTCGACTTTTGAGTACAGTTTCCAGATGACCAAGTATGTCTGGATTGTCTCGACATTTATGGAATCATCCATAAGTCCTGAAGGCTTTTTCTCCATGAACGAAATTTCGTTTATGTTCGAAACAAATAGATTGATGATCCAACGGACCGACGATCTGCCCATGCTTATAATTATTGTAACAAATAAGAATGATTAGAACATTTCAGAATTTTATCAACTTTTATCAAAATTTGTCCAGATATTTCAATCTTCTTACTCATCTGGCTACCCTAGTCGAGAGTGAGATCTCATATGGGTTTTCCTACGAGGTTAAAACTAATGTGAGATCTGCAGGCGCATCCAATAAAAATAACATTTAGTGTAGATAAGTAGTTTCTTGAGTTCCTCGTGCTACACATGCTTGCACATATAAACATATGAATCGCGAAACTTTAAATGATTAATGGAATCAATACACATGGAAGGCTATTCCTTTCCATTTCATTTTATAGACACTTAACTTAGTTCAATATTCATTAGAGAAACAACTACTTGTATCTTAAAAAAAGTAATTTGTGAAACTAATATTTGCAACATAATCGCAATAATCTCCAAAAACCTATTGTCATTTAAATATAAACGTTTTTGCTATGAACACTTGATCAAGGGCAGGATACATTTTGTACTTAGCAGATCACATTACTTTTTATTGGTTACTACACTATTTATAATGCTAACTCACTCGTCCACCATAAACAGTGTATATTATAAATAAAAACACACTTTCTTAAAACATACAAGGCAGTTATAAAATAAATAATTCTACTTTCACGCATACTCGAACAAATATCCAAGCATAGCGTCGATATAAAATAAATAATTTATTGTCTATAAGCACAATAAAAGCTCCCTATTCGCGTTTTCATAATTGAGGGTAGAAAACTTGCGATCTAATTGCTAAAAATTTCTTTATTCGAGGATGTAGTCAGTAAGAGGTAGGTTCGTACACTAAGTATCGTCCTTTTTAATGTAAGGGTACTTTTGGAGGGGGACGTTGACGGAAAATATTTTACAAAATGCAAATGGAATAGCATAAGATGACTTCGAATAATTGATGAACAGATAAATAACATTAAGGAATCCTTATGGCATCTCTTGGCACATAGCTATAACTTTATTTAGCTAACTACTATAACTAACAATATTATTTTAACCTTAAAATAAAACGTTATTAAAACATGACTCTTTTTTAAGATAATGACAGGCCTCCGGGCTTAATTCTCGAGCTGACCTTAACGAAATTTTCCGGAGGAAATTTTAACCCCGCATTTCACTGAGCACTTCGACACCTATTAATGTAAACTTTAACCCAAAAAATGTAGCAGGTTTACATTATAATCAACGAACTTATGAGCTGACAATAAGGATTACTATAAGTTTGGAAATTTGGAACAACTCAATACTAATTTACTTATCCATATTCACGGTTTCTGTATTCTCGGCACATTCATGGAAGACCCTGTTCACACGGCCTTGTCTCGCAGCACTTCACAATATGAATTTTATCGGATACTTTGCACATGTCTACATTGTACATATATTTGTTACGTTCAAAGATCGAAATTGCGCAATTGAGCAAAAAATTGTTCACAACGGATTGTGGTCATAGTAAAATATCTACAAAGCGAAAATCATGTTATGGTTCCTATAGAACCAGTCACGACGCGTTGTAGCATTCACAGAATATACACATATAGCGAAATCCGTGTCTGACTGACCTGCTATTCGACCACAACGCGTTGTGGCAATGAAGAAAAACCATGAAGCGTATTGAACCATATTTGATTAGGTTAGGTTAGAGTATAACAAACGACGCACGAGTCGAGGCAGCAAAGCGAGTGCAATTTAGCTATGTGGTTATACTATGATTGCCACAACACGTTGTAAACTATTTTTTCACTCTATGAGCAATTTCGATCTTTTAGCGTAACATACACATAAAAGCGTTCCCATATATATCAAATTTTTACGATTACTTTTCAGTACTAAAGACGTATTGAAGTTAAAATTTATACTACAAAAAAAAACGTGCAGGTAACTTGCATGACGATAACGTGTGAACGGATGAAACGTTTACCCCGCGAATAAGGAGCTATTACTGAACTATCTATAAAACTATAATTGACTGACCAACTAAAAAGGAAAGTTTGGTTTGAATATTTTTTAATTAACAGCAACTACCCCGCCCAGAATCAAACTCAAAATATTATAAAACGAACAATTTGTTTTGACATTCATCGACCGCAGAATCTTAATGAAAAAAAACCTAATTCCGCCTATCTTCGCAAGCCACGTCGACATTTAACTAAATTGAAATCAGTAAAAAATCTGCCTATAGTACCAGAATAATATGCCGATATTTATTCAGCTCTGTAATTTTAAGAAACTGCAACCCTTAAAGTAGTGGAATGATCCTGTTATTATCCTGCTAAAGTAAATATCTATAGCGGAAAATAACCACATATAAAATGAAAACAATGGTATATTGACATTAAGCTAGCACAGTAAGAAGCTTCAATAAACAAAAAAGAAATTAGACGAAGCTTTGAAAATATGCAATAAATATGGTTTCATATCTAAACAATGGGCTAATTTGCGAAAACTTCAATAAATAAAACATTATGTATTTATTTATATATAGGCGTATATGTATTTATGCTGGTTGATTTTATACATTTTTGAAGATATACTACAATAAATAACTAAAACAGACTACAATCGAATCTCATAATGTGAAATAAAAATTAAATGCTTATTTACTTATCTACTTATTATACACTTTCTTAGTATCATTGGCCGTTTAAATCAATTAAAAATTTCTAGATAAATATCAATAAGCTTATTAATATTAAATTTATCACAATTATTGTGAACTTCCAAGCGAACTTCCCTTACTTTGATATCAAAAGGGAAACTAAATAAGTAATGAACAACAAAGTTATATAACAAACATATTTTGGAAGTAAATGCCACAAAAATTAATGTTCTTCGATACTCTAGAATCATAATATAATTATCGGTGTATATTTGCACCACCATAATCTCAATAATTTTAATATTTTATGATGAAACAATACTGGTTAGAAATTTTATCAACTAATTAAAAATGTACCAAATTACGGCAGACTTTGAGACGAAAGCATTGCTAATTTTTACTAAGAACATAATTTTTTAAAATTTGACATACAAAATACTAAGGAATTTTACATTGATCATGGATCTTTCCGAAAATTTAGTTTAATTAAGTCAAAATGCATTACACTTCTATAGATGTGTGAAATGATCTGAGCCTAAACTCTCGGAGGAAAATGAATGCGAGAGTGAAGGAGATGTCTCTAAATTACCTGACACTGTGTCGCTTTGTGAAACCCGGAGTTCCTGTAGTTCCATTGCAGCTTTTTCACGTCTGAAATTAACCAAGTTCATAAGATTACCTTACAGCACTCACTTAGGGCTACCAACGGTCCTGTTTTCCTAGGACATATCTTGAATTTTGTAGTGCCTTTGGGTACGACCGCCATAAGTGCTTAGAATCATAGGCATGCTTAGAATCGTAGACTAGAGCGCCTATGATTCTGAGCACGTTTCAATTATTTTATCAATGAATACTTTAATATTATTCTATAACAATGTGTTTATCTATTATTATCTTTATCCAACATTTTAGTGTATTTCAGTTTTATATTAAAAATTCTGATTTAGACAAACGAAATTGAAAGTATGGCCATAGCGCCCTAGTAAAGCGCTATGTGTATTCTCCTATCTCTTCTACTTATGGAAAATATAAAACTATGACAATTTGATATCATACGATGGGATTGCTGGTACCGGGCCCGCGAGTGTGAAATCTGCTACCGAAGCTTAGCTTGTTTTATACACGACCCAAATCTTCATCCTTGGAAACATAACGATTGATACTGACAGCGGCTCTAAAAACGAAGCTTGTGCAAGTAAACAGACTGAATCACACAACATCCCTCATCCCGACTAGCAACGAGTACCAGTCACGAGAATCACTAAAATGACTGACTTCACCACCATCGCTAAAAGGGGTTGAAATCTCGAACCGATTTATAAACTTGCTTGTAGAAGATAAGTCAACGCCACACCACATCACACAAAGAAAAATCAATAAACCATCGCCAATAATGCTTTATGATATCGAAAACGTATACAATTGACAGAACTCTTTGAAACCACTGCTGAAAGAACTAAATTTACGTACAAGCTTATTAACAAAAATAAACTCCAAATTGTTAGTGAAGATGTTAATGTGAACAAGCAACTAATGTCTATAATTAGAAATCACGTTTTAATATGCCACACATTTAACAAAAAAGATTATAGAAATTGTAGGTTGGTCATAAAGAACTTACATAAGAAGCTCTTGAAAACTAGAAATACTGTAATAGGCGAAATTATTGATTTCGGTTTGGGCCTTACAGAAAGTTGACATCAACCTTCTTTGGTAATTTGCAAGGCGGACCACAAAATAAAAAGCAAAATACATAAAGGTCTTGTGCCCGTTTACAGTAAACTTCGGAGGAGGAGGGTGAAAGCATCAACAATTAGGCCTTAATGGCATTAGTTAATGGCTGAAAAAATGGAGAATAAGAGCCAGTTCATCAAAATAAGTTTAGGTCACATTTACCTTGAAACAACAAAAATGTCTTCCAGTAACATTGGGTGTCACTCAACTCACGCAAGAAAACAGTGTCAAATACCTGGGAATGCACTTGGACCAACGTTTGATGTGGCAAAAGCATATAAAATCCAGGTGTATATAAATAATTCTTTAGATAGTCAAAATTATTATGATTCAGAAGACTATAACGACTAAAACTATTTATTAAATATGTAAATAATAAAACAAAAACATTATAAAACAATATTAACATATTCATTTGTACACAAAACATTTCCCGAGTGGTCCTTTTCTGATCGCAGGACATCCCAGTAGTGCGATGGTCTAACTACAACAAATTTCTTGTGTAAAAAGTGAGATATTATATAACCTGGATACATGATTCAGAAAGCTGAGATAGAAAAATCAAAGAAATATGATCTTGCTAGTTCCTGATTAATGGAATCCTAATTAAATTACCTTAATATCACAGTGGCCCTAGTTTGTTTTTCTGTTTCAGAGAAATTCTCCGCACGCTGCCCAATTTTTGATTTCTTGTCAGGCTCTACAAACATACCAAGTTGTCGTTTTGGCAACTCATTTGGAGGTGGTGGACCAGGATAATCAAGCTTTGCTCGTCTTAATTCATCCATTGATCGTTCTAAATGGTAAATAACTATATCGTCCTCAAAACCAAAATCTTTGTGTAGTTTTACCTGTAAAAATAAGCTTTGGTTACCGACCCATTAGAATAGCTCATATATTTTATAGGCATCTGTTAGCATGTCTATTTATACCTGAATATAATTAACAATAAGATCCATATCATTTAACTTCATTATTGCTTTTTTGTGAAGTTTTAATATTGTATAAGCCATCGCAGTGACTACTCTTTCTCCATCAAGCAAGTATATATCCCAAACTCTCAAACATAAACTAAAGGGTACTCGTTCTACGAAAACGACAAAGAACCTGCAACAAATTCCAGTTTAAACAAAACGTACTAATAAAAACCTGATATCAACAAACAAATCAATAAAATCACAAACTAACCACTTTAGAGAGTACAAGATTGCATCTAGACCGAATTTATCAAAGTGAACCTTTAATTTTGGCATAAATTTTGTGAGTATCCTGTCGTGGTGTTCTAAAAATCTTGTTAATTTTGGAAATCCTTCTATATACAATCCATGCATGAGATACTTTCTGTCTGATAAAAGTACGGCAAGCGCCCAGAAAGCATCTTCTTCATCCATATACATAAGTAGGACACCAGCCAACCCAGACATGCCTTGACAGTATCCAACTTCTGAATTATACATACTATATGCACATAGGACATTGAATAGTGAACACTGTTTCTCTGAATATCTTTCTCGGTAAAACTGATGTTCTCGAAATTGTCTGTTAACATCAGAATCTATTTGCCTTACATCTGTAGACCATTGTTTGGCAAGTCTCAACATTTCATGATATTTTCCAGGGTTATCTGACTTTATTCTATTAACATCTAGCAATTTGCACCATATCTTAATTCTTAATGAATTTGGAATGCCCTTGTAAATACGTCTATGGAGTTTTTCTTTGGTAGTAGGAGAGTCCCAAGTGGCAAGCATTTTGACCCATTTCTTCTCCCTCTCCACTTCAATATTAATCTTTTGCGGCGCCGTTTTCTGCGGCAACCTTTCATCATGTATGAACCCATATCTGAAATACAAATATTAATACATGAATAGTCAAAGTATTATCATTAAAACAAGCTATAGATTTAAGGGTTTATTGGAATTATAAAACAAGTAACATGAAGCACCGATTTCTAAAATGAGAATATTTCTGCCCAGCATAAGTCAAGGTCTTCAATGAAACTTGTACAACATAATAGGTATATCAATTGAAAAACTTTTTAGAGATTGATCTATAAAATTTATATTTAGAAGCTATAAAAAATCTTATGGAGCTTATTATTATTCAACTAACTATAGTATCAGGCCTTCATCATTACCTTGCAGATAGGTATTCCAATAACTGTAAAATACTACCTATATAAGGATGACAGCTAGTTTTTGTTTGTTTGGCCATCAGATAGATTATTGAAGAATAATTAATATGATTTCTTTTATTTTCAACTTGATTAATCAACAAATTATGGCAATACATTGAGTTGAAATGTTTCATGACATCATTTAATACATTTTTAAGCAATTTCTTATTTAAATTGAAGCAAAACAATACTTATCTAATATTTTTCTATTATCTGACTAACAGAGTAAAAAGAATTTCTTTTTTGTTTTACCCAGTACTCATCCCTATTACACTGATAATATAAGAATTAATGTTTGAAACCATAAAGTATTAAGTGGATGTTATGCTGCCTGTTTAATTATTAAACCAAACATTAAAATTTATGACAATGGTTCATTTTGTGAGTTTTTAATTTATTACATTACTAAGAGCCAGTTGCACTAACGTAAATTAAAATTGTCATTAGTTTACAGTGACATTATCAATACCAATTTCATATTATTTGGGGCTTAAAGGCATCTTTAAACCTTAATGAACATTTGTGCAACCAACCGTAAGCTTGACAGATATAAACTTTATTTTATAATAAATCAATTTAAAACAAATTAAAATAACATTTTTTAGTTTTGTTGATACAACAGAATGGACTCGGGAATTACTAAGTAACTTCAAGTAAAAATCATTTCATTCATTTAATTTAATTTATTTTTAATTATTCTTAGATATTTATCAAATTTTATTTTAAGATCATAGATTAATAATCTCAATATAACAGTATATAAAAAAAAATGAAAATAAAGATTTACAAATAATATTAAGTAAAAATAAAAACACATTTAGCTGAAACATAGCCACATCTAAACTAGACATAAAAATAATCAAAAGTCAAGAATTAAAAATAGGATGGATAGGAAATAACAATAATCATAAGAGTGCAATTGCCATAATTAGGTAAAATACAAAGCACAGCCATTGGAAAAGAAGAATTCGCAAAAAAAAAGAAATACAAAGACCTTTTTAATAATTACATACAAAATATCTTAATCACAAATAAATTCAACTATAATTTAAAAGTACTGTTAGCATAATCATCAATCTGATCAGTGATGTGTCTAAAAACTATAGATTTATCATGTTTAAATTAATTTCCCCATTGCTGGAGCACAGGCCTTTTCTATGGATATGGAATAAAACAAGCTAATAGCCACCATGAGGGTAGATTAGTAGATAATAAGAACTGCTGATGCAGCCAGGACAAACAGTAGTTGGCACTACAGTTGAAAGATCCTGTTTGGTGTACTAAAGGCTATTAACTCATGAGGATCTCTGTAGAGGGTACAAATGTGTAGAAATAAATATATTTACAGATATCTTGTAGGTACTGGTAGTGAAAATTGCTCAATCTCATAGTATAGTATTTTAGTAAGAATTAAATCTCACACTAAAACATATACAGTATATATAACACACAATATAATTTAACAAAATAGCAATCTCTTATAAAAAATATTTGATAGCACAAGGGTAATTCCTTTTGGGACTTATATTTACTGTCTTTGACAGCAGAAAAAAATACTTGACATATTACCTAACTGAATCAAGAATTTCTTATAAAAGCTGCTCCAGACAGCAAAAGTTTTTATTAAGAAAAAAAAATAATCAAGACCTATTGCTAATTCAAAAAGGAGTATAATACCTACAATCACAGGCTGAGAAATTGTATAACATAGCATAGATATTCGCTTTGAACCGCAAGCGCAATTAATTATAACTAATTTAATGTAATTTTCCTGGTGCTTAATTATTAAAAAAATTATAAAATTTACCTATCTGTTTTGTGATATTCTTCAAATTCGGGATCTTCCCAAGGATCAATCTGCCCTGCGAGATTCTCACGCCCCCTCTCGTACCTCTGGAAGATACGCTCCCGCTCCTCGGAAGCCCGTGCCAACAGAGCCTCCTCATTCATAACACAGCCTGAATTTGCCACATTCCGAAAGATCTACGCAAAGTACTATGACGTCTATACAAAATATACGCTCTTATCTTTACGGTGCACCATTAACACCACAAATTATCTAAAAAACGCGCATACGCCCATTTTCTTCTTACAATCATCATCACGCCCTAAATTTGTAAATTCTCAGACGCCAGTTTATTTGACGTTCCCATGTCATGTCATTTTTACTATCAAGACGTGAACTAAAATACGACAAACACGAAAGGGGAGAAACTTTTTATTTCAAAAAACAATTTTTAAATGCTCACTATAGCTTAGTTAAAATCGATCTAATGTTTTTTTTTAATATACACCGAGACTAAATTGTCGTAAATTCATATTTAGTCGTAAAACCCAAAACGGAAGTTCTGTTCCATTACAACTACGTCGACGTTCCAGTTTCACATCGACTTTGAAACCGGTTCATATTTTAGTACAGAATAAATACGAACAAACTCAATAAATAATTCATTTCCGTAATCAAGGCAAAAATATGGAGTAAAATACTCTGAATGCATATAAAATTTCATATGTTGTAGAAGAACAAGTAATAGTTGTATAATAACTCCCTCTCCTTTTGTTACTGTATGAAGTTGGATTCCTTTGTCTTAAAACAATATTATCAAATTCAGGCATTGTCTATGCCAGTAATATTGCCAGAGAACAACTTTAGTAGCGCATAAATAATATTTATGCGCTACTAAAGTATATATTTATTAAATATACTAAAGTATATATTTATTAAATATATACTTAAGGGAGATATACAAGATATTACACCGAATTTTCTAGTCCGGCAGTCTGATTTTTTTCCGGTCCGATGTAGGTCATGCTAGCCTGTGTACAGTCCGGAATTTTACTTATCTCTATTCCGGACCGGTTCTTACCGGTCCGAGATGGCAGCAATAAAAAAGGCTTAGGAGAAAATAATCTATTTATGTAAAATCGATATTAATTTCGGCGATATTGTTAATTTCCGATATATTAATAATCGCCATTTATTGTAGAGTATAAAATCCTATATTTTATAGGTATGATGATTAATAAATATCACTGCATATGATTTAGCAAACTCGATATAGTTCTAATTTTATCATCGTGTATATCACATCAAATTATTTCACACAAACTAGGAATTTACTAAAATATATAAATATAACATTGGCCTAGACGATTTTGAGATTTTGTATATAATTTTAAAGACATGAAACCTTGTACTAAGGCTTTACTCATAGCTCAATGGAAAGCGATGCAATTCGACAGATTATTGGAGATTCGCAATATAATACAACTTTTTCTAAATTTAATATATATTTTTATGAAGAAAAGTGTGTGTGTTACGGTGTTGCGTGCATGCTCATAAGTGGTTAGTGCGATTGATCTGCGATTGCGAAAATTAAGTGACATTTGCAAAGACTAGTAATGGGATGGGTGATAATTTTTTTATTTGGCTTAGCAAAACGTGGTAGGTTTTTGCTCTCTTGCCATCTCCTATGTGTACTATTGGATAGTGTTTGGGTTTAATCACCACGAAAAGAAACACGGAGGAACTTGGTTAGATGTTCTTATAATGGTATAAAACATTACATTTTTGGTTACAAACTTAGATGCTACTTGACGATCACATAGCGTCCCCATAGACAAAACCAAAACACTCCCCGGTGTAGGGATGTGTATATAATTTGTGGGATAATGATGGCGAATCGCCACAAGTGCATTTGATCTGCGATTGCCAAGATTAAGCGACGTTTGCAAAGGCCAGTAATGGGATGGGTGATTATTTTTTCTAATTGGTTGAGCGTAGTGTGGAGCACAGTAAAGCACAGATATTCTCAATGGATGAAACCAGTCCACCTATCATCCCTATCTGGGCCCGTGTAAAGGTCTCAATGCGGATTTGGCGGTGCTAAAGCACAAGTATTCTTAATGGATGGGTACTAAATCTATGTATAAATTATATTAAGTTATAGAAATACCTATGTCGAATTTCCTAAATTGTTTTTAAATGACGTTTAAGATAATTTAAGTACAGTTTTGTGACATGCTTTATTTTTATTTAATTTTTTTTCATTTTTTAAATATTAAATTCAGAAATTTTAAATTCAGAAACCGGGTTTATATCTCGTAGCTTGGGCTTTTTTTATTGAAATTGTATGTGATTTTTAACTTGTGAACAAGTAACGTGCTTATGGAATAACACCTTTTTTATAAAAAAAAAACTATTTCTAAATCTTCCACCTCACTTGCAAGTATGCAAATACTTGTCAGTGTTTTATAAACTTAACACGATAAAATTAACACTTATTGAATATCGCATGTGTTTATTATTGAAAGTAATGTCATTCATACGTAACTTTTCTAAACGGTACTGGCAACATTGGTTACCACTGTTTACCAATGTGTCATGTGTCTGTCAATGTCATACTACTACTTCGATACTTTTTTTCGGATTACGACTCAATCAAATTAAAATTAAATCGGTCATCGTCTGTTCAGGAGTGTCGCTTGGTGTATCCTCTTGTTATTCAATTCACTTCCTGGGTCCAAAGTTCTGCTCTATTTTAGTGTATTTTATTTTTATTTTAAATAACACTGTCTTTAGAAAAGAAATGAATCCTATCGCACAAGTAAGTATAACGATTACATTATAAACCTACCCACTTTCAGATACATTTTGAATTCTTATTGAAAAAACTTAATAGTAGCTTTGTGTAAGAAAAATACTATAGTGTTATTTCTGGAATATTTTACTGCAGTTATATACAAATAACCGACTTTATTTAAACCACTATAGACAAATGTTTCAACAAGTCCAAAGTTCAGTTAATTGGAATACAGTCAGTTTGAGCTAAATTAATCTTTTGTTACTTTCCAAATGTAAATTATTAGCAAGTAGGCAAGCTGTTTATTTCAAAAATATATTATTAAATACATTGTCAAAGATATTTTAATGATTGATCAAAAATTTCTTATGTACTTTCTAAGTGGAAAATATGTCATTATGTACTGCCTTTAAAAGTATTCCATTTAATGAAATTAAACAAAGTTTTGATTAATAGATGATTATTTAATGTTTCATAATTCAAAATTGAAGTTAGGACTTATATATGTCACTCCAGTTTTAGCTTTGTCTAATAAGTAAATATTAAAACATTCCTGAAATTTCTTTGCTCATAATAAAAATATGAGAATCTTTACCTTCATTTGATCTTTATTGTTTTTATTTTTTTAATTTTACATATTTATTATGATTTCTTTTTTAATTTTTATGTTCTTTATGAAAATGCTCTCAATAAAATATATTTTCAGATATCACGCGCGACGCGCCCAATTTTTAGGTCAGTTACTACTTCGGCACCTTTGGCATCAGCAGCAAAACCTATTCCCACAACTGGATTTTGCTTTGGTTTGTGTTTCACTGTCATTATATATGTACTACCTCTATGGCTTCAATGTTACTCTCTTGGTGTCATCATCTTAGAGCTCCCAGGTTTGATTCTTGTTCAGGCTAATCAAAATCAGTCTGTATATGTTCCTACTGCAGGCTTTTCTATGCTAGATGGAACAAATCAAATAGGTACAAAATACCATAATCCACCATGCTAGCCCAGTGTGGATTGGGGAGCGTTTATAGATGCTGACCCTCCGTACTTCAGAGGCAATTCAGAGGAATTCCTTTGTACTTCAGAGGCAAGTTAAGTTATCCTACCCATAACTTAACTTGCCTCTGAAGTACAGAAGAATTCATAACAAGTTTTAAGTCACCTTTCCTATGACCAACACTAGCATAAGTTGTTTAATTTCGCATAATAGACTGAATGTACCATCAATTGGTTGGATTATTGCACACATTAACTTGACTAGTACACAACTGCATACGTAACATTTAATGTTGCTTATTATAAAAAAGCTGTTTTCTTGCAAATTATATCCTATAAAACTGCCTATGTCATAGATTACCGCAGGTAAAAGAATTTTGTTAAAATTGATCCAGCAGTGTTGGAGCCTATTCATTGAAACAGATAAATCTTTCTTTTTTTATATTATTAGTATAGACAAAAACAACTCGCTTGAGTTAATTATATGACTGAATTAATAATACCTGGCTGACCAATCCTTAATATTGAAATGAAACCTAGCTAGTTCAATTTATGGCCCTGTATACTAAATTTCATGAAAGTTATTGGAGCCTTTTTATGAGATTCAGATTAGTAAATTGTTTTAATAATCTTGTCCTTATTATTTCAGAACTAAGCGATGAGCAGAAAGCTTTACAAGAGTTAGCCAGAAAGTTCACCAGGGAAGAGATTATGCCGATGTCCGCTCACTATGATAAGACTGGTGAATATCCTTGGCCCATCGTAAAGAAGGCCTGGGAAATAGGACTGATGAATTCACATGTGCCAGTGCATTGCGGTAATGTTATCACTCTGTAATTTAGTAATACTCAATATTATTATATTTGATAAATTTTGAATTCACAGTGCCATACCATATATTTATTGTTAAATAACATGCTTCAATTGATTGTAGTCAGTAATGGTTGTGGGTTCGAGTCCCATTTCAGGTCACCTGTGTATAGTGGATATTTTAAGCATTTTTCAATATCCATGCGAAGTCATGAGAGATATAAATAACTCAAGAATAAGTCATTACTTAAGCAGATATTTTTGCCAAATACAAATAATTTAAAGCGAGCGAGAACTGTTAATGATAATAGAATTCTAACTATTAAGATTTCTTACTTCATTCAAATTCTTTCATTTACTAGTTATGAATATTTGCTTAAGTTATGGTATTTTATCAAGTAATACTTCTCTTGTAATAATTATCATACGTATCCTATGAGAATTTTAGAAAATTGTTTTAAACTTAATTTAATGTGTGTTGAAATTGAATGTAGTTTTTCACCTTTTATTATTCATTATTCATTAAAGTTCACAAAGATCATTATGTTTTAATGACATATTTTTTTCCACTATATCAAAAGCAATGTTAATACCTTTATTTCGAAATTAACTTTGTTGATGAGCCGGTATCATCAAAACATTATAGTGCAAATTGAAACATTACTCTTGAGTTAAAATTGACTATTTATAGATTTATCAACCAGATTAGAGAATTAACATTAAACTCCATAAACTTTTGGGCCATGTAAAGAAACTGAGTATGTTTGTCTTCCTTGGGTTCATCCATATAATAATCGTGTTTCTTATATATTATAATTTTATATTGAATATAATTTGTCTTTACTCTAAGGTAATGTTATAAGATATGTAGTTGATAGTTGGTTGATAGACATATGACATGTACAATACAGTTTATGGATATTTAAGCTATTTCATTTCTTCCGCGAGATCACAGGCCTTCTTCACAGTCAGCCATGATAGACAGCCACAGGCTATTGTGTAGAGGGCGCGATCGCCATAATAGCCCAAATATCATAGTTATAGTGTTATTTGCTTTTGTGTTGTCCTTTTATGTATTTAAATTATTGTATTTATAGTGATATTTGCTCTTGTGTTGTTTTTTTTAGTAGAGAAAGAACAATCTCAAGGAGGAATTGGTTAATTATAATTAACATTCAGTCTCTTGAGTCACGTGTCTCTCTCACTACGGGATGTTGGCAAAATTACCGTTTATAACGGAAGAAGTCCATATTAAAAAAAACGATCAGCGACAATCGAGCATGATCGCTATTACCATCTTCAAATTGGTCATGTATAGGTTCACGTGTAGTGGGCAATTTAATTTAGCAAAATGACTGAATACCAGTTATTACAGTCATGATGAGTTACAATTTTATAGATTTATTCGATTTTTAATTCTCATTATATAAACAACAATGACTAGGAAATATGATCATTTTATTAAGTTGTAGTGATATAAGTGTTTCACCAAAATGATATCATCTCTATAATGTAGCTTTTTAAAAATAGACATTTATTGGATTTTGATTACCTATATTGTTATACGTCCGCAGGGGGTATGGGTTTAGGTGTTACCGAGAGCGGCATAGTCTGTGAAGAGTTGGCATTCGGTTGTTCCGGAATTATGGCTGCCATATACATAACTGATGTTGCAGTGAGCACCTTATAGCATTTAATATGGGAATGTGCAGACCTACCGTGTAAGTATATTAGCTTCGATTTGCTTGGCATCAGATTCAATCAAAGTGATATATTTCACTACTATATTGAATGGTGAGTGTTTTTGATTCAACCTATTGTATTGAATTTAAGCACTGTATCTAACAATATAGTATTAAACTTAGTACATTTTGATTGCATACAATGTTAGCTTAATCGAAGCTAATGAACTTACCGTGATGTAGGCCGGCGGTTGCCTTAGTATGAGTTTATTAAGCCGGTAAACGATATCATGTATAAATATATCTTTTTTTTTTCTTGTTGCTGTTACCGTTCAGAGTTCAATGTTCATACAATATCTTACTTATTCGATATCAAGTATCGTCATAAGAACTCTTACTGGGCTTAGTGCTGAGAGCGTAAATGTTACAGATGTAATAGCGTCTGTTACGTATAGCTTGAATAATTAGTTTGTTATCTAGCTAAATATTTATCAGATTTAATCTTAAAAAAAAAAATAGCGCAAGCTCTTTTTTGTATCTATTTATATTGTAAAGTAGTATTATATTATAATCTTAGTCTAAAGGTTAGTTTATGATAACAATACCTAGCGCTCGCCGTGCGGCAACATCACTCAAACATTGATAATAAATAAATATTGTTATTGTTACAAATGGATTGACCTTTTTAATCAAATTATATATCTTTCTCATAAATGTGTTGTCATCACTCGTGCAAATGCCAACACACGTTACGTGTTTAGACACAAATAAACAGATATTATTGTCACGTTATCTATTTTCTATATCAACAGTTTTAGATAATATACCGTGTTGTCCATGTAAAGGATTAGATTAGTTCAATCTTTGAGTATGTTATGATGTCATAAAATGGTGTTTTTTATTAGCCGCAGGATCAAGTCCATTGCGATATAGAAGGGTATATGTTTAAGCAAGATAAAGTAACAAAATCGTGTTAAGTTTATTTGCAAATATTTTTTTATAACCATTTTAGTTATTATTAACCACAGTCCAAATCCCGAGTATTGCTTACATAAAACAAAATAAGATTAAATTTATATTTACATGACATAAGATACACACATTCCTAATTAAAATCATTGTCATAGACGCATTTTTAATCTGTAATTACGATCTCAGATTGCTATAGAAAGAGAAATTGCGGCCACCATGGTTTTTTGTTTGTTATATATATTATATTTTTATACTATACTGATTTAGCATGGTTTTAGTTTTGCTTGAAGTGTACGCAAGGTTTAAGGGGCCTATTACTCGCACACTAGAATTATATTTGATTAGATTTACATAGATTTTCCGATAAATTAAATCTATAATTTAATTTAATTTATATCATTCCAGAGTACACGTATTTAAAAACGACCAATTATATTTACTATTTTACCTACATATTAACACCAATCACCTCGAGTTATGATATGAGGTTTGTAGATACAATTTTACATAACCTTATTGAATAATATTCGCATATATTAGTTATATTCTTCTGCACAAGGGTTCAGTATACGTTTAATAAATTGAAAAGGTGTCCTATTGTAAGCATGGTGTTAAATAAGACATCTTTATCCCTGTGATCATAAATAAATATCTATTCTATTATATTCTATCGCTAGAGAAAATTTACTGCTCCTTCCGATAGCACTTTGCTATTAATTTTATAATTAAAAGATTAAAACAATATTTACCAGGTTTTAGTGTGCATGTAATAGAACCAACAATGAAAACGTCACCCATTCTTCATATTTTATAGGAAATTGTAAATCATAAATTAAAAATATTTCATTATTTTTTTAAATTCAATATTAAGTTTAATGTTATATAATAGTGTAGGTTTCACTAAAATACCCTTTTTAAGTGAATATTATCCACGTATAACAACGGTGCGACATCACTAAGACCGTTCTCTTTGCTCTCACATCCTACAAATTCTGTCAAAACCTCTATTTATAAAATTTCACTTAACTTTTATATATCGACGCTGGAAAGCAAACACGTAGTAACCCGCAAAACCAAAATGGATATTTAAAGTGGAAAATCTTTATATTTTTCCAAATTAATTCTCTTATTTCCGTACAAATTGACTAAGGAATACCTTATTTATTACCATGGACGTTTATAGGAATTATTTATCGAAAAAATAAAAGCTTTTCTGCTCTGAAGGACAATTTTGGTTTCGCGGGTTACTACGTGTTTGCTTTCCAGCGTCGATATAGACTATATAACATAGGTGTATTTATTGTCAGTTCGTTAACAGTTCTTCAAAATTATAGTGCAATCTGTACTTATACTTTAAAGAGGAATAATTTGATTTAATTAGTTCATCTATACTAATATTATTAAGAGGAAAGATTTTATTGTTTGTTTTCATAGAAAATTATTTCGAACCCATGACCTGTTTCTCTACCAATTAGTAAATCTTGTTCTATGTTCGTATAACCGACTTCATATAAAAAGATGAACATATGAAGTTGTTATACTCATTGTACTTGTATTTAATTAATGACTGAAAGTAAAATTAATTTTAGAACGTGATCAGACGGTCGTTTTTTCATTCCAATGTGCAAAATTAGTTTAAGTATTAAAGTGAAGATTTATTTTGAGTGTGGTACGCAATTATAGGTAGTATGCTCATAAGTAACAAAAGTCCAACAATAAACTTGAAGTTTATTCTCGACAATTTACTACATTAAAATATTCATACATATTAAATTTACAGAGGCTCCTTCCTAGTTTGTTACTAAAAATTTATTCTTACCAATAAGCAATGTATAAGCGATGTAAACTAAATACAATATTTCGTCTTTTGCACTCTAACTGAAAGTCGCATTAGAATGATGTGAACAAACTTTCTTATTGTCTCAGATACTCCATAATACGAAGGCATTAACTAATCTTCTTGACGTCTGAGCAATGTATGTGATGTTGTCTAATAATATTTTTAGTAAGGGTATTAGTGTATTGAGGACCACTTTGCTTTTGCATAATAAAATGAATTGATTTATAATATAACAATAGCATACAAATCTTAAATGTATGGGTTGTCGATTCGACATTCACAGGCGGTCTAGGAAATATTGGAGTATTCGACGAGTGCATGATTGCTGAAGAAATGGCCTTTGGATGTACTGGTATCACAACAGCCGTTGGCGGTACCAACTTAGGAGTGAGTTGTCGATTATATTGGGAGACATTTAATATATTATGTATGAAATTGGGGAAATGCTATAAGTGTATGTCATATTGTGTTCTATGCTTTCAAGAATATGAGTATTTTTATTGTCTTCACGGCTAATTCTAATTTATCTAACTGTTCATTCATTTTTTGATGTATTATATAATAGGTATTGTGTTTATTTAGATTTTTAGATTGTCGAAGATTATGGTTAAGATTGTATAGTAATAATCTAAAAACGAGCACAGTGGCTTAGTGTGTGTGTGTGTGTGTGTGTGTGTGCGCGTGTGTGTGTGTGTGTGGGTGTGTATGCGGGTGTGTATGCGATAGGACATATGATAATTTTTATCGTGATCGACAATAGGCTTGAAAGGGCGATAATGACCGAATTCCAGCAATTCCGTGGGCGGAAAGCTAGTAAATTATTTTGTCATGTGTGATGTTTATTAAAACAATATGATGTCGTTAGTTATAATAAATAAATAGTAGATCTCATTATAACACTCATTGACACCCATTCCAATTACATATATTGAAATTAAAACTGACATATAACGAAATGAAAAAATTTTACCATAAAGCTTCCAAATAGCAGCAATAAATGATTTTTTTAGTTTTCAGACGGTAATATAAGATTCTCAGATGCATGTGTTATCGTAGAAGAGTATTCGTTTGGACGTAACTGCGTAACGGCTGTGTAATATGAAATACTAATATGGGAGTGAGTTAAGACTTAATTTATATTCACAGTAGTGATCTTGTATTCTATTTCTTACAAATGAGGCTTAAATAGAAAAATATGTTATGTAGTTATTTTGATATTTTGCAGTTTTACAGTCAGTCGCACAAACGTCCATTAAGATTTAATGACGCCTTTAAGCTCTAATGAATGACAAAGTTTTATGGGTGATCGCTTTAAACTAATGTCAATTTTAATGGACGTTTGACCGTTATTTGCCTTAGTAGCCGTTGTCAATGTATTGATATTTCTTTTGTCATATATTATATTACACATCAAAAATAAGCCATCATTTGAAATCCTAATGTAGGCGCATAATAAAGTTATTATAAAGAAAAAAATATTCTATATAACGTATGTTTTGCCAAAACAAAATGAGTTGTAGGTAGATTTTATCTTGTTATAGTTTTGAATTTATGTTAGGAACAAGGATGACACGGGGTCAGATGCTAAATATGAAATTTTCAATGTGCGATTTACATTATACACCTAGATATATTAGCCGTTAATATTGTTACTTTGAACTTTATTTTTTTAATACAATCTCACTCCATAACACAACTTTTAAAAAGTTAAGTTATAAAAAGAAAATAGCTTTTTGAAACTGTTTATTACTTAAACCAGGGACTCCCAAAGAAGACAATATCGAGCTCTTGGGGTCAAAACAGAATAAGATTCACGAAATCTTATTCTGTTTTTGGTCGATATTGCTTATGCTATTTTATTAGCATACCTATATACACTGACCTGCAAAAGTATGTATCACACTTTTGAAACCTATTTTTTTTGTAATCTATATAAGTTTAGCGATTTAAAATAAATACCATGTTATAGTAAATTTTATCAGCTTTATTTTAAATTATAAGTAACATTTACATTAGTAACATTTTTAAATAAAAGAAGAGATAAAACAAAATAAGTAACCATTTCTAACTTCGTTTTAAAAAATCAACTAACAATTATAAGTATTATATACATGTCGTTTAATTTCTAGTAACTGGTATTACCTCCTCGGGCTCTGACTACGGCTTCCAGTCGGTTTGGCATACTGAACACGAGGTTTCGGAGCCGGTGTTGGGGAATATTCTCCCATTCTTCTATCAGGGCCTCTTTTAACGCCCTGAGGGTAGTAGGAGGAGGTCTGCGGCCTCTGACAAGCCTCCCTAGCTCATCCCAGGCGTGCTCAATCGGATTGAGGTCAGGACTCCTTGATGGCCAAGCCATCACGCTGATACCAACCTCCTGAATGTAGTCTTGCACGACCTGAGCCGTGTGTGGTCGGGCATTATCATGCATCAGCATCGATCCATCATCCATATTTGCTAAATACGGCCCTGTATACTCATTGAGGATCTCTTGAGCATATCTTTCTCCGGTCAGAGTGCCATTTTCTATGGCCACTAACTCTGTGCGACCTTCTGAAGATATGCCAGCCCACACATGTACACTGCCTCCACCATACTGGACTCTTTCTGAGAAGCAGACTTGAACGTATCGCTCACTTGTTCGCCTGTAGACACGTCGCCTTCCATCAGAAGTGTAAAGTGAGAATCGAGACTCGTCGGTGAACAAAATTCTGGACCATTCTTCTTCACCCCACTGTATATGTTCACGAGCGTATCGCAGTCTCGCTACTCGATGTTCTCTTTCGAGTTTGGGACCATTTGCAGGCCTTCTGGGTTTGAGGTTTGCTTCTGCAAGTCTTCTTCTCACGGTGTCGGCACTGATGTAGTCCATTCGGGCCTGAAGAAGTTGTTGCTGGACTTCAACTGCATTTAAATGACGATTTCTCAAGACCGTGGACACAATATAGCGGTCTTCTCGAACACTAGTGCACCTGGGTCTGCCATTACAAGGTCTCCTTAGATGGTTTCCAGTCTCTTCATACCTCCGCTTCACGTTCTGGACCGTTCGTGTTGTTACCCTCACTGTTCTTGCAGTGCGACGTATACTAATGCCTAGTTCAAGAAAAGTAATGATCCTGGCACATTCTTCAGGCGAAAGAGGCATGATTAATTAATGATAGATAAAACTTTTGACCTATTGTCTCACTTCGTTTATGTAACAAGACTGATCGACTAAGAAAAAATTGTAAGCAAACACAGAAACAAATAAATTAATTGCAAAATTCTGAATTCAAAAGGGTTAATTTTGTTTATAACTTTTTTTTTCAGCCATCTATCCAAAGAAGATTACCAACTATGAAGTTTTTATATACTAAATTAAATTCTTTTTCGAGTCCTTTTTATTTCGATAGTGTATCTTGTGTAGGCTTAAAAAGTTATTGCCATTTTAAAAGTGTGATACTTAGTTTTGCTGTCCAGTGTAGTATAATATCTTATACTAAAGAATCTAGAGAAACACTATACTAAAATCTTCAAAACTTAAACCCCAGTTTCTCTCATTACCAAATTTTATCATTCATTTCCATAGGTGGAATGGAATTGGGAGTATTTGAAGGATGTGTGATCGCTGAGGAGATTGCTTTCGGATGTACGGGTATCATGACAGCTCTAGAAGCTAGCGGACTTGGTGTGAGTCAGAGTGATGGAAAAGTCGTAGACAATTTGTAGTTTTCTTTTGTATCAATGAAAATGGCAATATTTTTCAAGATTATTTGAGCATTTATTAAAAATATCATCTCTCACATATTGCCAGCTATGAGTTTGGTAGTTCACAAAATCGTGGTCTTGTATCTTAAGATTATAATTCTTATTGCTATATTTTATTGATACATTCAGGTACTAACAGCATGATTTCTGTATTTAGTTCGATGGAAGAACAACTACTCCAGGATAGACACATTATACCCTCCTATAAAATTGTCTAATTCTATATACTTTCAAGCTTAGCACTTTAAAACAAGGGCTCTTCATTAAAACCATTTCAAATGCTTTGCCGTATATTATTCACTGCAGTATGTTCATGTTATGTGTTTGCTATGAATATAGTGGTGGTATTCGATATACTTATAAGTTTGGCATATAACTTCAACATATTATGTGTTTCAGCAAACTCCTGTGGTTATTGCCGGCAACAAGGAGCAACAGAAAAAATATCTTGGCAGGCTGATTGAGGAACCACTAGTCGCTGTATGTATTTAATGTAACTCATATAGTTCCATTCATCATCGGTCTAGGTATCTTATTTTATTACTGTTGAAAAGGACCTGCTAGATGGTTAATTAGTAAATTATTCATTAAGATTAAATTAAATTATACATTAAGAAATGTATTTACTCTACTAATAACTATGGTCATCAGCTATGGATCTAAGATTTTTCCGAACCGAGTTAGAAACTCGACAGTGGCTCATTAGTTTTCGAGGTAAATCGTTAAAATTTATTCGCACAAATATAACGAATCCATTTTTTTTTATTGTAATAAATAAGTAACAATACTAAATAGTAAAAATTGCAGAGCGAGTCCTATTTTAACTATTTTGGCGCTGCCTGAATTTTGTTAACTTTGTATTTTCCCTTTGCCGGCATATTAGTATTACAGCCTTCGTTTTCCGTCCTGTGAATGAATATAAACTATGTTGTCACAAATATATTCTATGTTGTCATGGATTTTTAGTTGTATTCATACAGTCATTAAGTTTCGAAAATAATTTAAAAATGGCTTAATTAATTTAAAGCTTTAAATTGTTGTTACCTCGTCTGTTCATAAGTTTTGAGACAAACTATTTACTAAATAATAAAAGGTTACGGGCTGTTTTATTTTTTATTAACCGATTTTGAATTTGGAATGTTAACTTTTAGTTTATTTGTATCGCAAATTCATTTGTTGTTAATTTTCTCGTGACGGAGGGCCATAATTACGTGCACCTGCCATTTTGCTATTTAAGGCGGGAAAAATAAACCGATGCAGATTTTCCGCGAGTTGAAAAATTTTCCTGTAAGCCGTAACTTCGTCTATTACATAATACAACGGTACAAAGCTCGCTCTGTGAGGATGCTTGTGAACATCAAAATCATTCGCCTTCGCCGAAATCCATGTCGTACTCAGAAGAAACTCTCTCTCTCTGCAGACTAATATTTTCAGTGAACAGAATACTGGAATATGATTTTAAGGTTTTAAAAGATTCGTGCCGCCTTTGATGTCTGACCAAATCGTCCGTCGTATTAAAAACAAAGGTCATTTTGAATAAAATATATATTTTATTGTTGATTATTATCTATTTAATGGTTACTAAAAATTTTTGAAATAAAAGTTAATTGTTAAAAAAGTTACGCAACTTTTAATTCGTCTCAAAACTTATGAACACACGAGGTAATATTTAAGTTCAACGGTGATTGTTTCTGTGTATAATATATCGGTTTTATTAACGTAAGGGACCGTCCATTAATCAAGGGTTGTTTTGCAGCAATTTGTAGCAATATTGCTACACCTCCACTCCCTTGTGATATTTCATGATTTTTCTTTAACTTGATTTGTCAGGCTTACGGAGTAACGGAACCCGGTGCGGGATCCGACGTCGCTGGAATAAAGACCAAGGCCGAGAAGAAAGGAGACGAATGGATTCTGAACGGGCAAAAGATGTGGATCACCAACGGTGGTGTTGCCAATTGGTAATCTTATATAACATCTGTTTTGTTATACTGTTGGTGGTTAAATTAAAATCAAATAAATTTACTTTGAGCCTACTAGTCGATTTATCAGTATCAAGTGATTAAAAAACGCCCATATTATATTTATATGTTTTGCTTGCTTGATGTATGCGTTATTCTTGTACTAATAATTTAATGTTGGTCTAAATTAGCGTGGCCTATATCAACTATCCAACGGATATCCAGGAATTCAAGGATGATTTTAACGGCCTCTTAAATAAAAAATATAAAAAAATTAGGACCATTCATTTGTATTGCAAAAAATTGTTTTCTAAGTCTAAGCTTTGTTATATAAAAAAACGTTAAAGGATTGTGCTTCTTTTTGCAACTGAAGCAATGATTTTTGATTTGATGTTGCAATTGAGAGAAGCTAGTTGACATTTTTTTATTTTATAAATAAATAGTCCATTTAATATCTGAGAAATAATAGCAAGCCTGCGATTATTAGTTTCGGAGATAAGGTGCTATGTTTGTGAAACTGCTACTAGTCGGCCGACAACACTCCTTACAAATTAAAGGCACTAAGTGACGTCACACAGTGCTACACAGTAGCGAGAAACGTATGGGCGTATAGAGGTATCTTTGTAATATCTTTGTTATTTGTGCATTTATGTTTATAGCTGTTATAATGAAAGTTGTTATGTTATATGTATGTAATTTAATAGCATATAGGATATATATACATATAGGAAAATTTTGTACAAAAATTTCCCTACTTTGTCAAGTTTTTAAAGCATAATATTTTCCAAATTAGAGCCATATTTATTTTTGTTTAATATTTATAAGTTAAAATGGTTCATATTTCCCGAACCGTATATAACACTCGAGTGTCCTTCGCAAACAAGAACAAAAGCTGTGCTAAGGAATTTGCGGTCTCCTTGTTACTGCGGATTCGCTTATTTATATAATGATACTTTTGTAAAATAACAAAAAAATATGTTGAATAGATGACGCATGATTTCTTTTCATAGGTACTTCGTATTAGCACGCACGAACCCTGACCCCAAATGTCCGGCCAGTAAAGCGTTTACCGGTTTCATAGTTGAAAGAGAATGGGCTGGAGTCACTCCAGGTCGCAAGGTATGTTATGTTTTTAAAAAACAAAATCATCAGATAATTGAAACCTGTACCACTCAATAATTTAGATATTATTCAAATTCAATATCATTTATTAAGTCTAGGCGGTTACGAGCACTTGTGAATGTCGAAAACTACCCCATCGGCAGGGTTCGTAATTATCGAGATAATATTCTTTTGGATAATTATCCATAGTTACTGGCAACAATTTTTAAAATACAGAAATGCATTCATAATTTAATAAACTTTTATTTTTGTTGTTTTAATTTACCTATAAAAAAGACAAAAAATAACTGTGAAATCACATTGTACTATTTAATAAAAATATTTAATGGTAATTCGAATTTCTTTTTTGTTTTTGTAGGTATTTTGTAGGAATTTCTTTTTTGTTTTTGTAGGTTTTTTGATAGAAAAAAATACCTAGATAGGTATTTTTTTCTATATAATACCTATCTAGGTATTTTTTTCTATCAAAAAACCATATTTGATAGCTATTTAATGATATTTCCCCATTAATAACAAGTCCTGAATAAAAAAGTTTGTGTAGTATCATACAATTATCAAGGTATATTTATCATGAAAATTTCGTGATAATTGTCACTTTGAACCCTGTCCATCGGTTCGCAAATCTACGGCGGGAAACCTTGTACTGAGAAGAACCGACAAGAAACTCTGCAAGAGCTGCTTTTTCTCCCTGTTTTATTTAATACAGAGAAGACTTTATACAGATAGCTACAGAGATTACAATATTAGAAATAACAAAACATTTTTTTTGTATTTACTAATATGCCAGTTGCCGAGTCATACATACTCATTGACAAATCAATAATATAGTATTCATATTAAAAAAAAATGGGCGAATTTTTGTAATGCACCTACGTAGTTTTATTCAATGATGGGGGGTCGGTCGATAACGAAAGATAGATCTAGAACTCTTTTTTTCACATTTCGGTTTGTGCACATGTCTGTCGTCCACACAGACATATTTTTAATTTAAATTTATTCTATATTTTTGTATCAGTAATCGGTTGTCTAGCACCATTTGTCGACAGCGATGAATTGAATAAATAACTGAAACATGAATAACATAATGTTCACAGAGGGCAAGATGAAGGACGTAAACATAAAAGCTTACTCCCGAATTTACACCTTATTACATGCTCATTAAAACTATTTTTGTTTCTCCACAGGAACAAAACATGGGTCAGCGCGCGTCAGACACTCGTGGAATCACATTTGAAGATGTCCGCATTCCCAAAGAGAATGTGCTTTTAGGCGAGGGCGCCGGTTTTAAGATCGCTATGGGTGTTTTCGACAAAACTCGTCCACCGGTAAATAAAAAAATCATAGATCAGAAAACTAGATCGTCTTCTTAATAACTGCTTTCGATTCGTATTAAATCTTAGAATACGATCATGTGTCCGCATATCGTCGTGACGGTTTCGATGCTTAGGCAAATAAATAAAATGTAAACAAAAAAATAAAATCTGTAACAAACAAAACAGTTCGTATGGTTATCGAAATAACAATATTGAAATAGTTAAATAGAACAATTACATACCCTTTTTCTTGGGGTTTGGTGAGTAATTTAACTTTATTATATTTTAGTCGATATAAGGTCAGTTGCACAAACGTCCATTAAGGTTTAATGACGCCTTTAAGCTCTAATGAATGTCAAATTCGTATGGGTAATGTCGCTTTAAACTAATGAAAATTATAATGTATGTATGTGCAACTGGCCGATAGTATACATTTACAACAGATAATAATAAATTGATTTAGACACTCTACTACAAATTGTTATTGATTGAAATTAAGTACGTATAATGTTTCTAACTAATTTTCACGAACTGACGTTTATAAAGAGCATATTGTAGTTATTTTTATTATTCATTGTAAGTGAATAATAAAAATAAATTATATTAATGTTCAAAGACAAAAAGTTTGCATGCGGATACCTAGGTCGAAAGAAACGGTGGTACGACGCACCCTTACCGATTATTATCCGATGTTTTATATTTATCCGATATATATCATGCATATGAAAAGCTGCGATTTATAAGCTGCTAGAGGCTTAAAGCCACTGGCTTAATTTCATATTTGTTTATTTATTATAAAACAATAAAAAAGTAGCATGTGTGCGAGGATATCCAGTACCGTATAGGGGAATACGGAATACATACTTACTGTAATAAACCTTATCGTATTAACCTAATAAAGCGAGCCCCTATTTCTCAACTTAAATGCCTATTATCTAAGCCATTTCTTGTTTAAATTTAAGCAAAAAATACGTATCCAATATATTTCTATTATCTGACTTACTGACTAAACAGAATTTCCTTTTTTTTTACCCAGTCGTCATCCCTATCGTCTACTTCTCTGTCAATCTCATCACTGCATTTATTTGCTTAATTTATTGGGAATCAATTAAATTATGGTCACCTGTGTAATGGTTACAGGTGACCATAATTTAATTTGATCACAAACAAAAATATAATATAATTTGATCACAAACAAAAATAGCTCTTTAAAATGCTCTTTATTCTTAGCTTGTAATAAAATACAATATAGGAAAAAATAACAAAGAAAAATGAGCTTTCTTTCAATGTGTCATGAGTCTAAAATGCTCTTAAACGCTATGATGCACAAGTTCATAAACCAGGGAATTAAATAATTCATAAACAAATATACCACAAATTAACATGACATTGGCAGTGGATGATTATTTTATCGCAATTTAATTTATTGAATTTTCAATCAATCGAAATGCTAAGGGTTTGGCACTATGTGGTGATACTGTGTTCGCCGTGTGATATGTGATTGCAAGACTATGCTAGCTGATACTCATAACATGTAAGAATCATTTTTTTTTTCTTAATTTAAAAAACACTTTGAATCTCGAAACAATAATATTTCATGTCGAGTATTTTTATCGGTAGGTAGGTGATATCATTGTGGTATTGCGCTGTAGCTGTACATTTGCTAGTTGCAGGCTAAGCCGTAATTTTGACGTCATTGTGTGGATTTGTAAGATGTCCACACCGCTTTTATTTTATTTTTTTTCTACCGAGATATATATTGCAATTTATGCTTCTGTTTTTAACAAACAATCGATCATACGTTTGATTTTTATTAAATGGCTTTTTATTTCGCAAATATTGGGATAGGCTTAAAATAAAATATCTTTAAAAAGTGGTAGTTTCGTACAACCTCACCTTAAGTGAATTACATTTTAGACCAGCAGTACTTAAGGACGTTCTTTATTCATAGGCAAAATTGTCCTTTTTAAACGATGTACCTACATTAATCTTAAATTATGTTAAATTTTTTATGGGCGTCGTTCCAGTGTTTTGCCTAGGGCACCTATTTCATTGAGCCTACGCTATCGACCCATAATACTAACCATGACATATTATAACGTAATATTCAAGAATAATGGAATCAGTAAAAAATTCGACCAAAGTTGTGTTTATAATTTGTTTCTGTATTATTTGTGAGATTGAGACAGTCACACTGTTGATGCGATAGTAATTTATACATATTATTTTTTTTATAAATACATTTATTTTGCACTTTAATGTAATTATGTACTAGTATAATCGTATCATATAATTGTTATTGTCATATTAGCATGCTTAGTTGCATCAATATTATTAAGAAAGCTAATCGTGATAATAATCTTTCGATAGTATGTCAAGGTCAATCGTATATCGCAACAAATGTAAGCACAGACAAAACAATCTACTTTTTGCTTATACTAGTAACATCGATTTATTAATAAAATTATATGTCGTTTAAAAATTTAGCTTAGTAAAACAACAGACTCTTTATTGATACATTATGTTAGATATTTGTAATTTTTTTGGATATATTTTAATCTGGGCTTTTTAAGAAAATATCAATTTGTTATAATTATTTTTTTCCAAACGGGCCTGCTGTAATTTATTCCACGATTATTTATATAAAACTGGTTTTATATAAAAAAGAAATGCCTGAAGATATAAGCGATCGGATTAAATTATATATATAATATAAGTATCTTGTAAATTTTACACGAACATTTACACGATATCTCGCTTTTTGCGCTCCCGGTATATCGTATAGATGTCCTTATGAGAGTAGGTTGTCTTTTAATATACAGAAATTACGAGAACGCCGGGTAAATCACGACCTAATTTTCCTACATAAAGTTATCAATGGTCAGATCGATTCTGTAGATATTTTAAATCAAATTGGTTTATCGGTTCCTTATAATTACCCCCAGACTATCGCAAAAAAATTCCACGTAACTTCTTGCAAAACTAACACATGATCAAATTCGCCAATCTATAGAATATGCAAAAATTATAACCAATTTAGTATGTGCCACGGTGATGTCGATATGTTTGCAGAAGTTTAGGAGAGAACTGACGAAATGTATGCTAGGATATAGACTTGTAATGAATGATATGTTGACATTTGCATAACAATAATATAAATGTAAGCTGTTTTGTTTGGTTAAATTGTTTGTTTTTTTTATTTGGTTAATTTAATTAGACTTGATTAATTTAATTAATTTTAGAACTATTGTTAGTATTTGGTTTAAACCACTGCCATTCTAAAGTAATTTGACAATAACAAGAGAAATCGTCAAATAAGACCCGTTGACTTGGTTTAGGGTTCTGCTAATGTCATACAACCCTGACACAATTTATGTTAATAATAAATGTGTCTGTCACCATTGATTTTGAAGAAGACGCTCATCATCATCATGAGCCATTTTGCGTCCCCACTGCAGAAGCTCAGGCCTTTCTTATGGATGGTTGAGGATGGGCCGTGACCCTCCACGCTGGCCCAATGCGGATTGGACTGTATTAACAACAGCAAATGCAGTCGAGACCAAAGTCTTAACGGTCCCTCCCGTGACCGAACCTTCCGAAAATTGTTAAATAACTATCGCGTGCGCTTATCCAATACGCCACCGAGGTACTCGTGCAATGTTGTTAGTGCAATGAGGAAGACATAGCACTAATAATATTGGATTACAGGTATGTGAATCCACCGTACCACATAGTTGACATTCAATTGAGATGCGACTATTACGTTAATAATTTGTAGAAATGAGGCCGTAATACTAAAGTTAGGTCCAGTCTTATAATAAGATTGTGCTTTCAATCTCTATATATGTATAAATAAATGAATTCCTATTTTCCCTGGTCACGCCATCGCACGGGAATGGCTGGACCTGATTTGCTATTATCAGAAGAAGGTTCTTATGAAAGAAAAAAAAAAGGAAATTGTGTGGAAAATTTAAGAATATTTAACCACCATATAAAATTATTCCTAATCTAATCTTAGTTCTTTGAATAATATCGACGGCTCCTAAGTATAGTGAGTCAACTGACTTTTGATAAATTTTACAGGACGGGCAAAACAAGAGCAAAAGGTCATAATTTTTTTGTTATATTAGTTAGAAAGAAAAAACTTATTATAATGGAATCCTCATAATAAGGTCTTTCAACAAGAAAAATGCAACTTAGTATTATTTTAGTATTTTATGAGATATTGTAGATGAACTAGTATACGTTGAATATTTTTCAAGTAAAAATGGATCAACTACCACTTACATTTTTATACGTTGGATCACTAAATCTTTGTAATGCAAACATTTTAATTAATAAGACTGATAACATAATATTTGATTTCGCATATATTTTAGTTTCACATTATTACTTTTCAGTCGATATTTATTTTTGTTGAAATATGTAAAGTTGACTCACTATGCATGGATATAATTTGGGAATTGGTCGTTTTATACTGAGTCAAGTGCAATACAAATTTAGGAAAATAATAAGATAATCTTTCAATTGTTAATATTATTCGACATTTATTATTTTTTTTACTAATAGTATCACAATAATCACTTTAATCTTAAGAAAATGATTGTTATTTTAACAAAAACTTTGGTTAATCAACAAACTTATATCGCTGTAAAAAGTCACAAACAAAAATCAACTTATAGTTCGGTAAGTACTTAATGAATAAAATAATTACGAAAACAATATTTTTTTACTTATTCTTAATCACTTGCAATAAGCTGTCTATGATATTTTTGAATTAGCGAGTATGCAGTTACACTTTAGTATTTTAATATCACAATAATCACTTTAGTGTTATGAAAATCACTATTGTAAACGAAAAAGTATTTGTTAAGTACATCAATAAATATATGTGAATACAAATATTAAAAAGAACAATAAGTTTTTACTTATTCTGAATCAGTATTATAATTGTTGTCTGTTTGAATCAAATTAGAAAAAAACGAATGATATTCTTTTGGAATAACTAGTTTGTTACACATGTCCATCAAATCTTTGTATTTATTTTTATCAATCGGTATCGGCCGGTTATAAGCTGGCTGTAGATCATGAACTTCAATATCAGGAGTTTTTTTGTTGCGTGTTGTTTTTGGTTTATTGCTGCAATCGATCCAGCTATATGACTCTTCCATAAAACTTGTCTTGAAAAATATCTTGTACGGATTTTCTGGTTTAACCAAAACTTCGGTAACTTTATTCCATTGTACCTTCGATCCATCGCTTGCAAACGTCCAATTGCTGAGCTTTTTGAGCATATCTTTGAAGTCCATTACAATATCTTGGGACACTTCCGTTACTTTGTAAGGTTTATCATCAGTTTTTGCGAATTGAAACGCCATATACCACTGGGCAGGTATATAAAGTATCTTGTCCTTGCTTTGTCTCTCAATTAAGGCGTGCATACTGTCACCTTCATTTTGCGTGTGGCCAACAATCAAAAAACGATGACTTATCTGTATTTTATATTTATAACATGCCATCATGTACATCAGAAAAACGATCCTGTTCCTGTTTTGACCACCGCAGTTATCAGACCAGAATCGGTAATCTTTTTTGCCTTCTTTGACTGTGTTTTCGATAAATTGATAAACACAGCTAGCAATTTCATTTGCTCCTCTTTTAGCTGTCTGTTGGTGCCAGGAAAAGCAATAACCCTGACGAGATCCTATATCGAAAATAGTAAAATTATAAACGGTAAGCTTTCGTTTATAATAAAATGTGCTAACATTTCCATGGGGTACATTCAAGCACTTTTGGAGATCATAGGCTGCTGTAAGTATTTCAGGGTTCTGCTGTGCTGAGTCTTTGTCTTCTGTTTTTAATTTTCTGGCTAAATCTTTTAATGTTAGATGCTTTGTCTGTTTTTCTATATCCTTTTCTGTCTTTTCTTTGTTATTTTCAAATATGTGACATTCTTCACAGGTATCTTTTTTTGGTTTGTGGAAACTAATATTTAAATTTTTGTTGATAATGTCACGATATTGCCGCACGCTAGTCACCTTATCTGTGTACTTAGTTGAATCAAACCATTCTTCATACAACGAGTACATTTTAGGGAATGATAAAGATCCGTCAAGATACATTTTAGTTGATTCTTTACGTGTGTAATGAGATTCCACAAGTGGGAAACTTCCAACATGGTCAAGTACACTTTTTTTCATATCTTCGGTAAGTTTTTTTATGTGTTGACCATGCTTTCCTCTCTTATCGGACTCAACCACGCCATGCCCCTTTTCATGTTTACGTAAAGCTGTATATAGGAAATTGAAACTTATTGATAGAGTATTTAAGAACATGGTTTTACAGACAGGAATTTTGTTGATAGTCACGTTGTCGGCTTCATAAATAGGTAAAGTATAAGATATTGTACTCAATCTTTTTGTATTTTCATGGTCTGTTGTTAATCTCTTCTTTCCATTCTTAGTTGCATATTTTGTCAAAAAATCCCACTGTCTGGAATGATCGCCAATGTCCCAAAACATGCTAAATATCTTTGCTCTTTTACTTTCTGATATTTTTTCATTGCACTTCTTTCTGCATGTGGTTGGACATGAAGGTTTTGGCTGTTTTTTATTATGCACTTTTCCATTTCTGCTGATATATTGTAAACCTCTGTTAACGTTCCTTTTTCTTATCTCATCTTTCCACTCCTTTGAAAAGCGTTCTCTCTGTCTTCCTTTGTCTTTTTTAGTGGCCGAAATGCGTTTGTGGCTTCGACAAGTTGGAGTTGTCATTGAAGAATCTGTGTCGTTATCATTAATAGTAGGTGTCGATGTCGATATAGGACTTTCAATAGACAGGGTATCATCGCACAAATGTATAGGATAAAAATCAGCGTAAGGTGATGGTATTGGAGTATCATCGTGTCTTTTTTCACAACTTGGTGATGTTAAATAAGTAGCTTGCATAATTCTTACTTCAGTACAGTTTTCATTGTTAGAAACTGGTGAAAATTCAGCAGCATCACTCGGAAAAATAGAAGAGTTTGATGGCAGATCTTGAAATAAGGTATCTGTGTCTTCCATAATATCAATGTCATCCAGAATTGATAACTGTTCTTGGGTGAAATTTGCACCTGGAGGTAAAGGTGAATCTGAAAAAAGCAATCAATATGCTTTATTATAAAAGAAAAACGAATATTGTAATGTATAGAAATTAATAGGAAATCATGTTACTACTCCTAACCATTTAGTACTCTTCGAGACATGGTCCTGATTCATGGACATTAACTAAGACACAAACCTATACAAAACAAATACAAAAAAGTTAGTTGGAAGTGCCGGTATACAAACCCGGCAAATCTTGGTTGATAGGCAGACCCTCCAGATGTCAAAATACGCATATTATCTAATCAGTTTTTTGAGTCAAGTACATAATTAGCCAAAAATATTCAACGTATACTGATCCATCTTCAGTTACACTAGTATACTTAGTCATGCTTTAAAACCTTAAATGTTTTTACTAAAAATTAATTATAACTATGTTTATGTGCTACATATATAACAATAATTTAACACTGCTTACCTCTTTCCGTTGCATTCTGGACAACATCACTAATTTCTAGAATATTTTCTTGTCCACTTTTACAATGGTCATATTTTTTAGTAACTAAATCAATAATTTTTCGAGATCTATTACTCATTTTCACTTTCCATTGAAGCACAACTTAAATTTAATGAAACAAATTGAAAAAAAACAAGAAGTATTTAGTATTTTTCGAAATTACAGAATTGCACGCACGCACAGTGACGTATCGACGAATACTGAACTAGTTGCAACTTGCACCAATTTGGACATATTGGCGTCCGACGTATACTGGTATTTATTTACTTGACTCAGTTTACTATGTGTGAAATAACGAAACGATATAGTTGACTCAATGTACGTCATTTTATTTTCGGTTTTATTAGGAATTTGAATATTTTTTTTACAATGGTATATAGAAAATGGTTTGATTGTTACGAATATGTAAAAAAGTGCAAACCCCAAAATTTGTTAGTTGACTCACTATACTTAGGAGCCGTCGATATAAACTTTTTTAAATATAAACTTATGATGGTTGGCATAGATTTAACAGAATGCGTGTTATAAATTTTCATAATTCAAACAGGACAACGTCTGACGGGTCAACTAGTAAAAATAATTATAGGCTTTTTTTTTAATTTACGTATATGATTGTTAGGTCGCCGCTGGAGCCACGGGTCTTGCCGCTCGTGCCCTCTATGAGGCGACAAAATACGCGCTGGAACGGAAGACTTTCGGTGTACCAATTGCTTACCACCAGGGAGTGGCATTCTTGCTAGCGGATATGGCAACCGGCGTGGAGACAGCCCGTTTGGCATATCAAAGATCCGCCTGGATGGTTGATCACGGTGAGTACAGTCATCAGTTTACAGAAAACAAGTTGTATGGCTTGTTATAACATTTAGACATATATCTTACATAATAACTATATACAGTAAAAAATTGTAAGCAGTGCACAAATTTCGTTACTGAAAATACTTCTTTCTTTATTTTTAAATTTTCTAACATCTAGTTATAGTTACAAAATAACTTGTACGTATTAACTAACGAAATTAACAGCGCAGAGCTTTAGTTGTTGAAGTTAAACCATAATCTTAGTCAGTAGAGCTATTTATATGGATAAAGTAAGTGGGTGCAATGGGTTAATGTATGTAAATAAACTTTAAAATTAAATGTTTGTGAATTTTATTGCAAATATTGTGGATATTTTTTTAAATGGGTTTTCACCCAGGTAGGCAGTATTTATAATATAAATTCCTTGATGTGATAAAATAGGGCTTTGAATATCGTGTTATTGGGTATAAAGCAAAAAGGTACTTGCATATTTACCACTTGTACTCTAGGTAACTAATTTAATTTTATAAAGTATTCTACCACTCCACTTTTAGATTAGTAACTTAATAAGGAAGTATTTAAAAAAAACGAAAGCACTAAAAATGCACCTCCACTAGATGGCAACTCTAGCAAAAGTTGATTTTTGCAGGAAACAAATGGACCAAAGACAGTCATTTCCGTTCCTTTTAACTGACATATTAAAAAACTGAAAATAGAAAAGTTCGAAACTTAGATATCAATGCAAATACGAAAAATTACAAATAGAATATGAGTTATTGAGTCTTGAAAATTAATTTTCTTTTAAACTTGAAAAAAAACCGGAACGGTTGTCATGGAGAAATCAAGAACGTACCGTAGCGACACCTAGTTTGATTTCGGGAACTAATGTTCTTTTTTTAAATACTTCCTCATTGAAATTTGAAATATACGGTACTTGTTATATACCTATCACTTGACACGAGGTTCCTAAAAAAATAAAAGTAATAATTATAAACATTCCAACGTCGGCGATATGAACGCTTTCAAATCAATCTCAACCGCTTGCTGGCGGGACTAGCTAACTTTCTATCATTATTAGTTTATATACAAATATCAGACAAAGAGAGTGCATTGCTTGCTCCATTCGGTGAACATACTAGTAGATTTACTTATTATGTGTTTCTGTCTCATTAGGCCAAAAGAACACCACAATAGCATCAGTGGCGAAGCTTCATGCCTCCGAAATTGCGAATAAAGCCGCTTCGGACGCCGTTCAAATCTTCGGAGGCAATGGGTTCAACACCGAATATCCCGTAGAAAAACTCATGAGGGACGCCAAGATCTACCAAATCTATGAGGGCACCTCCCAGATTCAAAGAGTGATCATCTCTAGAGAACTCCTTGACGCTGCGAAGCAGACTAACGCATAATAGCATTTTTTTATAAACATTTATATGGTATCCTTGAAAGGTTTTGTAATAATAAACAATTACTTGGTGTTATAAGAATGGAAGACTACTATTTTTAAATGTTGGCAATAAAATTTTGTTTTACAATTTGAATATTTAATTTATTTTGAGTACTATGTAAATATTTTACATTTAATTTTTATCAATGGTAAGGCCATTTATTCAGATAGAATAGAACTGAGAGTGTGGTTTCTCATTTTCCAAGATCACCTATAAAGTTTAATTGATAAATTATCCTTTGATTTTTATTAAATTCACAGACTGTATACTACAGAGCTACTTAGGAGGCTCATAGAAACCACGTTTGTTGAGTTAACGAATTGAAGAGTTGTTACCGTACTGCTTTTGCTTTAGTTTATATATTATGTTCAGTAATCCCAATACCACAGAAAATGTTATGTTTGAATTCATCTAAAAACAGCGGTGTTATCATTACTAATAGGTATGTACCATTATTTATTCTGTGGTGTTTATTCTGTTGAACTGAATCTATTTAAATAATTTATCTATGATATTCCATCACTCTCATTTCAAACTCACTTCACTTAAGACTCATAACGTATAGAGAATATCATTTCAAGTTTATTTAGATTCGATTTCGCAGTGAGCTCGGTCACCATAGGAATACAAGACTGATTTCTACCGTTTTTGTTGTTTAGTAAGTGATTGAAAGTTCAAAAAATGTAGGCTATCTCAGGCGACACATCTGTAGGGGAAGTTTGGCACCATTCGTACACGGGGAACCTTCATACAGTCACTACTACATCTTGTAGAAAAGTATTTATTACGACTGTGTCAGTGGATCAGCGCTAGCGACTGCCAGTTGTCCACGAAGCCACACATGCAGCCACTGCGAGCGAAACTAGAGAACTTAAAGTGTTTTGGCATGCTCTTAGTAAATACTTGGTTAATGTTTTTGGATCTTCCGTGCTTTAATTACATGTCAAATTTTACTGGCTTATTGCTTAATCGTAAGTGAATACGATTAAGATAATAATAACATATCTATTATGTGTATTTTTCTACGTGGGTTTTGTGTTAGAAAAAATAATTTTATTCCTGATCTTCGGGGCACGTTCGTTCATTTCCAGCAAGGGCACATTCGTACGCGTATGTATGTATCCCCTAACCCCCTGAGTGCTAAGAATATTTATTATTATATCAGAAAATTTAGAAAAAATGATCGGAATTTTAAGAAGAAAAGGCAGACACGTTCCCAATATCCCAATGTAAAAGGTGTTTTTATATAGTAAAAAACAAATAGTTTTACTAAAAAGACTAATCAATTGAAAAAGTTCATAAACACATTTCGGAATCACGATATTGGAAGTCACAACACTATTAAATGATTATGATAAAGTTTTGAAATATAAATGTTTAACAAAATTGTTATGAAACTGGCTTCGCTGATATAGAATGGATGCACGGTTTTCGTAAAAAAGATAGTTAGACTCTAATCAACATATAGGCATATGTCGTTTAGTTTGTTACATCGTTGATAAGTTTGAAATCAATGAAAATGATATTTTTTAATTAATTTGTTATTTTACTTAATATAGGTATATGAAGTTACCACACTGTCTGAATGTTCCCCGGCCCATGTACGATTGTACCCCGTAATAGGGGTAGATTCGGACATTCATAAGCTTTGAGTAAACTTCAATCCTTTGATATATTATAGAAGATATCGGCTTTGAACTTTTTAAATAAGGAGCAGAAAGTATGCTTTTATGTTTTAATAAGTAATTGAGTAATTTATCTTTAATTATCAATATTTTAAAAATCATTGACTAAAAAGTGTACGAATGGTGCCAATCTTCCCCTAAATTCGAGAGATCTGGAAAATATTCGTTCATTGTCTTTTCGCATTTTTTTATAATTCGTAGAATATAAAGCTCAGAGATTAAACGTTAAATATTGGCGTATAAATTAATGTCCAAAACAAACTTCATTGAGTTTCAATATTACATGAATTTATACAGATTCTATTCAGAAGAGGTAATGTAATAGTCTGTGGTAATAGTGCAATTTCCGTGTTCATTAGACTCTGATATTACTGGTCCAATTTAGAAAATTGTTTTGCCTCTGGGAAGCTACTTTCACATACGTTGAAGTTTTAATAAAACAGTAGAAATAAAGATACTTGTATATATTGTTATATGCAAAATTTTTAGGATTTCTAAATCAAGGCATAAATCTACACAATACATTATAATAAATATTCAACATGAACACAGTAAATATTATTAACTGGTAAGGACATAACACGCAAATGGTATTATGATTATTACACGGAACTAATGAAGGAAGAATTTCCCAATCATCCAGTGGAAGTACTCCCACTGATGCAAGGGCCTGAACAGGAGGTATTAATGGAGTTAAAACAGCTGAGATTTTTTGTTTATAAAATCATTTTGCATTAGAGCAGACTTCAAATTTAATTAAAAGTGAAAAATAATACTTATTTCAAAAACGGTAAAATTTTTCAAGATCCGTCGAAGTCGGGCTGAGGTTTTCTGTACTTTATTAATAGATTCCTCCAGCGGCTTCGCCCGCGTGGTCTTGTATTATACATAAAAACCTTCCTTTTGAATCACCCTATAAAAAAAGCAGTATACATAGGGATATGGGGACAGAGAAAGCAACTTTGTTTTATAGTGATAACCGCCCGAATTAAATGTTTCTTGAAAATTTTTACCGTATAATTTATCCGATTTCTTTACGCTAAGCATTAAAAATGAGTATTCATCATCGCTCGCGTATAATGGATATATTTTTTTATGAATATAAACCTGTTAACAAATAAACGTGCACAATCTTTTGGCAATTGTAAAAATTTATGAACTAATAATAATAATTACGGCAAAATAGACAGATAATATACCTAAACTGTTTTTTTTTTAATTATATAAAATGTAATAAACTAGACTCAAACTTGCGAACTTATACCAACATGTAATTTTAGACATTTAACACTAGAAGCGGCACTGTGCCATTTTTGTCCCATACGCAAGTTTGATTGTATATAACTATTTGTCAATTTATGTCGATGATACTTGTTTTAGCTAGAGCCGCCGCTGGATAATTTTTGTCTCATCTTTATTTGAAGAAATAATTTGACATACAATCATTGCTTCGGGAAGGTACAGAGATGTCACAGAGGTCAATAAACAATTAAACATTGTGTTTTGTTTAGCAATCAGTTGAGCACACTGAACATTATTACGTTGGCTGTCGCTACAAAGAAAGAGCGTACGTTACTAATTTTCTATGTAAGTATGTCTAGTCAGCGTCATAAAATAATGAAAACATACGAAATTGTGTCTTGTTTTAACTATATATTGGAAGATGACTCAGATAGCGAATCTTCTCTTCTCTCATGCAAAAAAAAAGTAATTTTTTGCTTGTTTTTCTCGATATAGGTAACGTAAACAGGTAAACGCTTGAAATATTTGCTTAGTATGTAATTAAAAAATAATTTTAAAAATAAATAATTAAATTAAAATCAAACAATTTTTTTTTATCTTTTGAGTATGAAATCCTATAAAGAAACAGCAAAAAGACAGTAAACAAAGTCCTGCTAAAAAGTCACTGACTTATTCAAAATCTTTTGAATTTTTTTTTAAAGGATGTTAAATTATTTATATCTTTGCTCTACATAACTCAATAGTTATAAGATACTTACGCAATCTTAACGTAGCCTACTGACATTTTGTTTTTCAAAAACCTGCAGTATTATTATATTAGCAGTAGCACATACTCTTTTTATGGGTTTGCGTTGATATCTTTTTCAGCGAATAACGCAGCGAACAGCAAGTTATACTAAAAATATATAGTTACAAACATTTTCTATCATTGTTCACATGCATAATAAGAAATAATTAATTTGTACTAATATTTATGTTACTGTCATACAGTGAAACATGAACTCGAAAATATTAATATATAAATTACTAGCTTTTGCCAGCGGCTTCGCTCGCGTAGTCCCTAGGGAAATGTTGAGTGGGATAAAAAATATCCTATTATCTAAGTCAGCTAATAACCTATCTGTATACCAAGTTTCATCAATTTCCGTTCATTAGTTTCGGCGTGATTGACCGACAAACATCCAAACAAAGAAACTTTCACATTTATAATATTAATAGGATTTACATTACGATACAAACACCATAGTAGAGTTGAGTATATCAAAATATTCTTAAAAAGGTGTATATCAATAGCTTAGCATCAGTCGAGGGAAAATCAATTAAATATAGAGACAATAAATAGGTTAAATTGATCTTATAACTAACACGTAGAGTTAAAAACAAAGAAGAATTCAAATGCTTGATGTTCTGAACAGCGCCCTCTGTCTATATATAGTTGAAGTTGTGACAAGCTACAGTCGTTATTCAACAATATTTTGTTATTTCGATTCATTGACGCTTGGTGGCTCCATTTTCTTCTGTACAGTTTATTGTACGTACTCTATGTAGAGCGGAAACACTTTTTTCCTGTTCGATAGATGTCGCTACAAGGACGAATAGGTAAGAAATATCAGTAGAAAATTATATGTTCACATTTTTTATTGTCACTGTTTTGCTTCAAACTGCTGTAAATAGATAACATTCAACTGTAATAAAATCCTGCTTCATTTAGAAATGTGTTATGGTCATAGAAAAAATTATTAGAATGTAAATAAAAAGATTGTTTCGATAAGAGATAAGCGCCATCTGGTAGCACTATTTTAGACTTAATAAAGAGGTCTGACATTTGAGAATAGCACTGTGTACCGGATGTGAAATATTACATTATTCAAGTTATATTCCTAATATAATAAATGAATATTATTTCAAAATAAAATAATTGTAATTTGGTAAGAATTATTGATTTAGGATTTATTTGGCGGTTATCGTATTTATATGCAGGACTTGAGTTTTATTCAACAATGATACTTATAAAGATTGACCTACATTCAGAGCCCTTGTGAAAGGATTGTGCAATAGAAACGGTCATTTATTACACAACAGAGTGTATTCATAAGTCAACCCAGTAATTTTGCGTCACTTCAAGATTTTCGGGTCTCCGAGCGTTCTTCGAAATAAAGACGTCAAAGTACTTATACCATTTTTCTTTAGCTTATTAAGCTAAAATCACTTATTTTTTCTTTATTTTTGATTCACCTGCCATAAAAGAGTCATTTATTACTATTTTATTTCACATAAAATAGGTCATGCCACAGATATTTTTCGAATTAGGTTAATTTCCTACTGCCCTTTACCGACTTATTTCAATGTCAGTCATGAGTACGGTACCTCCGTTGAACCCGAATTATGTCGGTCGGAATATCAAAGTATAAGTGAAGTGGCCTAGAGACCTACATTTTGTTTTTAAAACAAAATATCGCTTTAATAGGCGATTTTTTAAATAGAATAGTTCTCAGGACGCTGTGGGTGACGTTTTGAACGATTTGCAAGTGACATTAGGGTGTCGCCTCGTTCTATTATCGTGTGTGATGCACGAAGACGCTCCAAAAATGAGTGTAGCGCAGAATCTGGCCGCCTCCACGAGCCAGAACAAGGGTGACGTCGTCATCAGCGTGCCTCTGGAGTATGAAATGGGCTCGGTCGAGCCTAAACAAGCAGAGACGATTGAGCTCGACTTAAAGATCGCATATGTTGATCCTCCTAATGGTACGTACATGCTCTACTATCTACTCCGAGCAAATTGACTCTACGTAAATAACACTAATACAATTTACTCGAACCGGATGTCCTATTTTTCTCATAAAATAGACTAATTTTACAATTGATAGTGTACAAAACAACACATTTTGGTATAATACTAATAAAGACAATTGGTGGAAAATGTAGAGTCAATTGATTTAGGTTACTTATGTGCGCATTTTTATTGAATTTTCATTATTGCATGTTACAATAAGAGTCTAGTAAGACAAGATCGGGACATAAGGCCTGTGCTAAACCATTATAATAATCTTATAGCACAGAGAAGACAAGTGTTGAACAATAATACGCGTAGGCATAATGTTGTGTGCAGTGCGGGGAGGCTACCTGCTAGTACGCGCGCTGCACGGTGTGGCAACGCCGCATTAGTTTTTTCGCGCTATTCTCTGTAGAATTGACTGTATATATCAGTTTTAGAGTTCTCTGTAATAGTTGCTCACGGAACGTGTTTCGAGAATAGCTTGAATGTATAATTAGCGGCGATCTTGCCGTGAATGAGTACTGAAGTATTGTCATACTACATGTATCTTATTTATCAGGTTGTCCAGCATCGCATTATGACTTAATTCGGTGTCAGTAGGGCACGTCGTCTCGTCCCGTGGCTGGGATCGCTGCTACGTTCGTTCTCCATAAGCGAGTTCTTGCTCGATTGAGTAACGCCATCGTATCATTGGCGTAGCTCGTTTGATGTTATACAGATTGCTCCTGTCATAATGACGCGTCTTAACGAGTGGTACGGGTATTCTCGGAATTAGGTTGGATGATGATTTCATATAGAATAGTGGGTTGGAAGTTATAGGCTTGTTTTCAATATGTTTCTACTTCTTAAATATAGTTTAAAGTTTAACATTTCTTAACTTTACAATAACCTACTTACTGTTACTTTTAATAAGTGACGAAGTGGATATTTTTTTTTATCGGTAACTGGCAAAGTATTTTTTTCTCTAAACTTCCAATAAGAATAATTATTTTCTTCGGAAAAGTTTCAAAAGTTTTCTCCGGCAATTACCAAATGTTTATTTTTGTTGTAATGTTATGAAAATATTTTCTATTTTAAAACACTCAGTAAACTTTGAAAAGAGTTACCATTACGTAATGATCATAATAACTTTGTCGTTATGTTGAGTTATTTAAAGCAGTTTTTATAAATACCTATACAGAGTAATTCAAGAGGAAGGTTTATTTATAAAACACTTTAATATATATAACATTCGTTTAAAATTCAACAGTAAATTTTTAATGATACATAATCAAACGAGTAATTATAATGGAGAATATTTTATATTGCTCTACAAATTTTCCTTTATAGACGATATTTTGTATCCGACTCAATAATACAATATAACAGTAGCACTGAAACCACATGGTATAAGTTCGTTACGTTTGTGTCAACGTCAACAAAAAAATAGAGTTTAATTAACGTATTAATAATTTAACTCTATTTTTAATCATCCGTTCAAAATCTGATTCTCATTTTAATACCGAAAAGTTATTAGTAGTTATTTTAAGCAAAATCTTGCTCTGTGTCTCACATATTGACAGAATGTGTACGTGAAACGGAATGAAGCCACAGAGTATACTTACTCTACATAGAGTAACTTATATCTACTCCATTTGCAAAAGTTGCAGTTTAAGAAAAATTTAAGAAAATATAAAAATTTTATGTGGTAGTAATTTTCTTGTGCCAAGTGAAACTAAATAATGAATGAGTTCTCAATCCTAATACGATACAAATGATCGAACGATTCAAAAATAGAATACCAGGAGTATAAAATCCTTCGTCTCAAAATATCATATTCTTAAACATCAACATATGAACACATGAGCCTACTTCTGCCTAGCCTTGCAATGCAATTGTAGTCGCCATACGGGATAGTGCTCTACATGTACATTATTATAGTACACTTTAAAAACATCTTTTGCACTGCATTTAAATGCTCTAGGTAACTAGTGAAAGATATCTTAAAAAATGAAATTGTATGATTTTATTTGAAGTTTTTTTTAAGAAGTCATCTCTACATTTTGACAACGAAGAATTTATTTTAAGTATCTAAAAATTCTATTTCTTTTTAAGACTGTCAATTAATATTAAAATTTTATAGGTAATGATTTTTCGGATCATTTCGTGGTTTCTCAAATTTTAACCCTTGTAAAAGATTCTAGATGACATCGAACCCTTTAACTTACTAATCATATCCCCCTCCCATAGAAAATAACAAAACTGGTTGTTGAATTAAATAAGGTTTTTATTTAAATAATAGGTAACAAATACAGTGCCGATATAAATATCTATTTAATATTATTGTTTTTTGTAGAAAATGAAGTCTAAATTGTAATTTTGGACAGTTCTTTGTCCTTCATCGTCAAGTTACCGAGCCACCTTTACGTTAATCTTGTCGCGAACCTCCTACCCTCAAATGATGAACCCCTAAGGGTTTATACACCGATGTACACATTGAGACACCCTGTTTTAATATATGAAGTACAGTGAGATAATATCTATTTCTTTAATTCAATTAATAATTAATTTATTGGTTGAAACTGTACAGTCAACAGCACGAGCGATTATACAAAAGTAATTAACGTCCCAAGTCGAATGTAAACCTTGTTCACTTGAGTTTAAAGTTCAAAGTTGTTTGCAGGAATTTGACTTTTTGTACGTGAGAAATACCGCTGTATAGGTCAAACTATCGACTGTAAGTAGTTCACTGGATTGAAACTACTCTCGTTCAGCAAATATATCAGATACGTTACATTTTTTCGCTGAAGTAAGCAGTTACTTGGAACAATTAATTAAATACATATTTTAATATAAATATACTTAATACATAAGTATATATACGTCAGATTATATAAAAAGCTGTTACTTTATTCAGTGTTGAACTTATGTTTGCTTTCTGGTTCTGATTGCGGATGTGTATGTGTACTGTTAATTGATAATAATTGCATTAAAAACTGTACATATTTTAGGTTACACCAAATTAAAGATACATGTGAAAGATATCAATCGGTTCAGTAGAATCGGAGTTCATCAATGACACAAGATTTATATATATATATATATATATAAATAGTAATACAAGATCAACTTAATGGTATATATATATATATATATATATATATATATATATATATTTATATATATAGGTATTATAATAATTGCAAAAAATGCCACTCAATGCGTTAAGAATTTGTATGGAGATTTGTAGTTCTTGGTAGTTACCGCTAGGGGCGCTGTACCGGATTCCATACTAAAATCTTAACGCACTCACGATCGACAGTAAACGTAAACGTCAAAAAAACTTACACAAAGCGGTCTGGTGTAGCTAGGGCAATGGCTTTAGCTGATGCGGGGTATAGCCAGCGTCGCATAACTCGCACTCTCTGTGTACCTCGAACTACGGTACGAGATGCCATCAAACGATTTCAGGAGACAGGCTTATACATCCGCAGACCAGGTCAAGGCCGCCATCGATGCACTTCAACTCGAGATGCCCGTTTCGTTGTCATAAATATGATGAGAAATCGCTTCTCGACCGCTACTGAAGCTCGTACGCGTCTTTTGAGGTGAGCAATGTAGAAAGTAATTTGAGGGCTTTTCGTCCAGCTCGCGCTCCGCAACTGTTCCCACAACACCCTAGAGATGGACTTGGTTTTGCACGAGAATATACTGACTGGACTGTAGAGGAATGGAAGAAGGTACTGAACGTAAGAGGTCCAGAATCAGATGGACGTCAGTGTTTCTACAGGCATCAAAATGAGAGGTTTGTGCCATGCGCTATAAATGAACAGTAGGTTACCAGGGAGGGTATGGGGACGAACCTTTATGAGGCTCGTACCGATCTTGTTGTGTTTGATAGAGGATGTGTAAAATTTCAAAAATACGTGGAAGAAGTTCTTCAAGACCATGTCATACCTTTTGCTCCGTTCCTTGGTGACAAATTCAGATTAATGCATTAATGCACGCACGTTATCATACCGCAATATCCGTAAGTGAGTACCTTAATGAGGTCAGGGTTCAAATTTCGGACAACCTTAAAAGACGTGTTTGAGCAAAAGTATCTGTCCCTACAACTATAGAGCTAAAAACGGCTACAGTAAAGGAGTGGCACAATTTCCCCAATCGGATATTCAAAACATCGTGGATGGATTAACAAACCGGCTTCAAAAAGTCAAGGGCCAGAGGTGACAACACCCACTATTCATTTTAATTTTTTTAATTGCCCCATTATTTTCAAAACCTAAAGTTTAACATTTTCATTGAAGATAATCAAAAAATCTATTTTTGTTAAGTATCCTTTAATAAAATACTTTCTTCAATATTTTTTGTTTCTTTTTCTTTAAGTATGGTTTTCAACATTCCTTTCATAAAATATGGTCTTAGTTTGGAGATTTCTGCGAATTGAAAGAAATAGAAGGTAGGCGGTTAATAGTGCCTTTGAGTGTCTAATATTATTATATGCCAGGATTTCGTGGAGTGGATTAGTTAAGTATACTGAACAACTTTTATTATGGGAGCAACACTGAATTCACGAAAAAATAATCAGCTGTTTCATAATAAACTAAAAACGTCAACGATTTTAGGCATTTTTAGTTTATTGTATTTAATGTTATGAGCGTGGCGTAGTGAGCACAACTAATAAGAACCTAAGGTTGCCACGGAAGACCAGCGTCGGACTGTCTAACTTCATTGTCGTATAGTAATATATCTTTTTTGTTTTTGTTATTCTTGTATGGTCACTGAATAAATACTTTTGCATGTACTTTTAAAACCAATTTAATAATAATTATATTCATTTTCTATGTAATTATGAATTATGACGTCGAAATTGCCCTGCATCCCGTTTCTTACTTTAGATGTTCGTAAATCTCGAACTGTATGTTAATTTTGTTTGACCATTGAAAGTTTAAGCTTGGATCTGGACCATCAAAAATATAAAAAGTTCCAT